CACAGCGAGATACTAGTTTTATGTGGAGCGCCTACCTTTGACCTAAACCTCGAGGGTACAAGAGGTTGAACATCATTTAGAATTAAGTTCTTTGCAGTAGGTACTTTATTGACTTACAGTCTTTCTCTATTTCTATTTTTTTTTTATTTTAGTCCATAAATTTTCAAATTATTAACACACAAAACAATAATAGATAAGCAAATACGCACTGACTACATTAAAAACATCAAAAACGCTAAGAACTGTGATGATGAAAGCTTCTATTTTTGGAGTGTCTAGTAATACCATAAAATCAGATAGGTAGTTAATTATTCGATGCGCAACGTAAGAAACACAAAAGGAATCCGTTCAAAGTTCACTCGTTGAAGTTGATGCACAGACAGTCAAAGAATTCTTACAGGCAAGCACACGTGCGCTACGGCACACCATTAAAAGGAACGCACACATGCCAACGTCACGAACTTGATTACACGTTACACAAAAAGAGGAAGAGCGGAGGCTGCGCGTGCGACGAGTCGCCGACCCGCGAGATGGCACGAGTCAAACGCCGCGTCGTGCATAATATTATTACTCTTTATTATTATTTTTACGAGACTGTTCCTCGTATAGCCGTATACGATCAACACGTCGGTTCCTAGCTAATAAAAATGGCAGGTCGATAAACAACGCGGCCAATAATTGATTATCACCAAACTAAAAACATCATGTTCTTTTAGACACAAGTATTAACGTCAACGTCGCTTAGACATTTGTCTACCTCATGTTAAATGTTATGACAGATTATATTATTGTACCATAACATGACAGAAGCTGTTTGTCCATCCAGCCGTCTGGCTCTAGATAAAGACTGTAAAAGATATATGCAGAACATGAAGCCAAATGTCACTGAACCGAATAAAATTCGTTTAGCAAAAGAAACTCTTAACTTTCAATCATACGTTACAAGAAGCACTTAGCACATAAATAAAAACTTCTACTAGACCACCAACGATCACAGAACAATGTCATTTTAAATTGAATTGAATAATAAAATATCAGAACAGCGTATCAAAGTGGCGTGACGATGAAAGTACTTTATCAGTAAAATACCTATGGCACGTCCAAATCGTTGGTCATTAGCTATTAATGGTTGTCATTCGTCAATGTGTAGCATCACAAAGAGATTTCAATTGAAATCCAGACTTCTGACCGATGGAGCATTCAACAACGTAGGCAGAACGACATTCACAAACTAAAGTGGAGCTTCCCTGGATGAAGAACACATGTATTCTGGGACAAAATATTATATTAACTCAACGATTACCTGCTAAAGAACCGTAGCTCACATACATATTTAAATAGACAAGGGATCGAAAAGTAGAGAAAGAAACAGAAAGTCAGAGTAAAAGGAAAATTACGCTTTTAAAAACACCTACTAAGTAGGTAGGTACCCAATAATATCTATGAAATAAAAATAATTTATTACTTAAACATCAATACATTTTGTGAAAACGAATTCTAAATGTGTAAATCCATATCAATTAGTTTTCTATAGTCCACAAATATTAACAACAGGCCTCAACACATGTTATTATGTTAATGATATTGTAACTAAAGCTTCTAGTAAAATGATGTCACCGACTATTATTGGCGATTATATCTTTTATCAGCCAAACATGATTTACGAAATAATATTGTGCCCTCGTTTAAACGAACAATGTTTTCATTTTACCAATTTATTATGGATCAGGAGATTATTTTTGTTAAACATAGAGCCATTATGGGCACAGTGTAGGGGAACAAATCGTAAATCGAAAGTTACGCTTTAAACTCAGTAAACAAGAGCTCGTTACCCACAAACGTTAGACACTCATATTCGCATATGTTTGTCACAGTTTCACAAACCATAGTTCCCGCGGCCTATTGTTTACAAGAATCTACGTTCAATGGTAGATTGGTTGAGATTAACCAGTCGTGATGTGGCCCATATCTCGATGAAAGCAATCACGATCACCGCCGGAGACATACTTGTCACACGAACAGTTCTTGAGATGATCACGACGTAGCCTCGAGTCCATACTTACACAAAAGAAATCAAATAAAAATATTAAGGACATGAATACGTTACATGACAAAAGTTGTCCTTCATATTGAAAGTAGGTACTTAACTCGCAAAAGTTCCATGATGGATGAAGTTTTGCAACGTAATGATGCAAAATGATGAATAACAAGTTTTGAAAGACGGTTCGACGTAGGATATTTGTTTAAAAATATTTCTGAAGTTCAGGGATCAACGAGAACCGGACGATGTACCTACCACATATCGAGATACCTAAGTAGGGATTACTTCAAATTAGCTCAAGATATAATGAGAAATTATTAGCGCAGTAACAACAAATTATCGAAGTAAATAGTCTCATACTGGTTACAAGTGGGTAAATCGAGCATGCAATATTTCATGCTTAGATGAATTAAATAATCATACACGAAGGAAATATAACGGTTCATAAATAGGGAGGATCTGTGCAATGACAGAATCGCCCATGAACATATTTAGTTAACGGGCAGTACGGGCACTAGTAGTTGTTAAGTAGTGTACATACGGCAGACGGCAGCAATTCAATTCTTGCATATCCCAGAAACGGGAGCTCAATTTAAATATTAATCGAATAAACCCGTTTTAGTAAGCTTTTGATATGATATTTCAAGTATAAATCGATTGGTTCTTAATTTCGATAAACGCTAACACAGTTCTGCAGCGAGGCAGCATGAGGCGTATTCATCTGCATAGAAGTAGTTAATTATACAGACATTAAAAAAAATTGCTTCTCCACCTGGCTCGAGGCACGTGCCTCGTTCACCTGTTCTTTAGTCGCACTTTTAAATAAGTAGGCTCTCGAAACCGGCAGTCATTGCTGTTGAACCATGCTATTATTTTTTGTATACGCTACAAAATTGCTGCATCGTACATGTAATTATAAGTCAGCAATCGTATGTGATAGCAGCCTTATATTATCTCTAAATGATGATGAAGGCGTAGATGTGGTTTTAAATCATTCGAACACTAGAATTAGGCAACTGTAAGAACAAATACACAAGTAAATGGAATAGATTAGTTAAACTTGTATTTGGCGAAATAAGGCCAAGTATTGCATAAATTCGAAGTTGATATTTCTGTTTACATCTGGTACTTATATCTACGTACCTTAACATGAACTATAAACTATGGTCGAGACTATAATTAATCGGTTTAGGGTTTACACACGTCTGTATTTTGGAGACCACATCAAATGTAGGCTTTGTTGCAAATTAATGAAAAAGATTATGTGCAAAAACGAAAGCCATTTGTTATAGCATCAAGATCAATTAAACTTAACATAAAGGTACCTAAGTTAAAATTGACTTGATCAAATCCATTGCGATAGTCAATAAAATCGAGACCAATTTTATCTAGCACGCCTAGATATTGCCCTCTATTTCGTCTAAATATTGATTTCTAAAGCCTAACTCTTTTCTAGCGTGTTGCACGTCAATTACTTCTATACATGCATTAGCGTTGTGTCAAGGTAGATAAAAACTAGTGCAAAATACATAGGTACACAATAAATAGATTTATATGGTTAGACTACAATACTTTTATGTCGAAGTCTTTCGCCGAGCTGTTGAGAAAGACGTAGTCTAAAAACTCAGTTCGTGGTCACATGTCGGTGTGACCAACTTTGGAGTTGCGTTTAGTAATAACTCTATTATATTAATTGCAATATGGTTCGACTGATCAATTTTAGATTGGCACGTCTAGAACATTGGCCTTAATTAGTTTACGAGTTATTATATTAAGCAGTTTTTTTGAAGAGGGAAAATCGGTAATTTTCAGAAGAGAATCACTCCTCCCGCCCTGGATGACGCTAGAGGGAGTGCCAAATTTAATAACTAAAAACCACCCCGTTCAAACTCCTTCTTCGAGCCGGAGCCATGGTAAGACGGCAACCCCCTTGCTGTTCTCCGCAGCCCCGGCTGGGTACCAAGTCTAGTGGGCCTCACCAGTGGTGATCCGAAGGCTCTTTAAGTTACATTTTTTATGGTATAAACCTGTAAACTAGCACACGGATCACTTGGTGGCAAGCAATCGGCGCCGCCCATGAACACCTCTAACACCAAGAGTTGTTACAAAGCCGTTACCGGTCTTTTGGGGATTAGAAATTTTAGGATAGTTGCGGATTGATGAGTTTTGGGATTGATGAGAATTCGGTAACCTTATTCACACGACGAAACATAACGCAAGTGTTGTTTCACGTCGGTTTTCTAGGAGCCATAACATCACGCTATTCACACTCTATAATATTTTCTACGAACAAAGCAATAAAAAGCCTCGACAGTTTGCAAAATCACGGTCAACAGCTAAAGCGCAGCGCATTGACCATAGGTAAGGCAGTTAGCTTTTAAATAAAACGACGCCGAGGTACTGAGGCCAACGTAACAATCGAGACCTAGAAAGGCACACCTACTGAGATTGGACATTAATATTCATGTCATTGACTCAATATAATAATGTAGACAGTTTAATCAACAAAGGATTTGCTAAATGACAATGATAACTGCTTTTATTGCTCTAGAAAGTAGGTAGTTAGCATTGTTTATTACTTTTCATCCTATAGGAACTTATTTTTACACCATATAAGACAACGCTAGACTAATTGTAGTAAAGTAGGTAGATAGTTGAAAATATTTGAAGGAAAATGATTTTGGTCGCAATTTTAAAACGAAATCCGGTACCTACCTAAAAAGCACTAACGAACTTTGTTTCGTTTTTTTTTTCTAAGTACCTGGAATTAGTATCATAAAGAATTCAAATTCACACTCACCATCAAATCCGCAGAATAGCACAACGGCAGTCCTTTTATTCAATCAAAATTAACACTTCAATATAATATTTTGAATCACCTTTAGTCCCACATAATCCATCACTTTGGGCTCATATCACGAATTGTACTTAACAAAACTGAATTCACATAGGTTTTCGTCACAAAACAAAAAAAAAGTCTGATAAAAATATCGGATGAAACAAAAATCACATTCGAATTTTGAATTAGAACTTTCCCGCCAAATGTTTATTTATTTCGTCGGTACCGGCAGGCGAGAGAGCGCTAGGCACAGCAACGCGCGTCCAACCACGAGCGGAGCCGGTTCGCTGTTGATTATTTTATTTTGAACTCGACGGCCGCGACCGCGCTGTCGCGGTTCAAGCGCGGAACGGCCGAGCGTCCCTCGATATACGATACCAAAAAAAGGAACTCTTAAAAACAATCCCTTTCTACTGTAATGGGATAAGAACTTTTTTAAATTAGGTGAGGATAAAAAATTACTAGCCGCATTATAACCAGTTTATTGATTGCGTAGCCCGCTACGGTGTATTGGAAAACAAAATAAATAATAGTAGGTATCAACAGATTCAACGGACAAACATGAACCACAAATATCACACAAAACATGGTTTAACATTATAAAAATTCAAAATAGAAGATTACTATTTAACAACACATTTCCTTAGAAAATAAAGTTGTTAATATTATAATGATCTAGTGTTGAGCCTTATTTATGCATTATTACATTTACAATTTATTCACATAATTGATTCATTGCGTTTGATTTTACACACTTGAAGTACCCACAATAATTTATGATAAAACAATACTTCGATACATGGCACTAGTGCCATCTAGTAGCTATAAGTTGCATCAGCTTTCTGTAGGATTTTCTTCACAGTTCTGTTGTTTGACTTCATTATCTTTCTCTACTTCACTTTCTAACTTTTCAATGTCTTCTATACTTAAATCTCCCTCGAAATCATTGATATTTTTATTCTTATTAATGTTACCTCTTTTTAAAAACGGTTCATGCAATGCCTTGTAGAGCTTTTTAGCTTTCGTCGCGCCAAATCCTGGACACTCGGCTAATCTAGTTTCCGACGCCTTTATTATATTTTCTAATGTTCCAAAAATTGATATTAAAGTCATAGCATCCGTTTTGTTCACTGGTTTTATTGTTGTTAAGGCATTTACAACCTAAAAAAAAAAATATCTTGGTCAATTACATAATGAAAATATTGTTAGACAATATAAAGGCTTTGATTTGACTACCTAGAGAAAACTGTTATGCTGAAAATCCTCTGTACTAAACATGGCGGTTAAAATTAAAAAATGCTGACTTATCTGACCCAGAACTTTGTAACAACAATCTTACTAATATATCCTTTTTACTAATATAATAAATGCGAAAGCTTGTTAGTTTGTGTGTATGTTTGTTACTCAAACACATCAAAACTGCTGGGAATAGATCACGAAATTTGCAACAGGGGTAATTTATGGTCTGCAATATCACATACATAGGCTACTTTCTATCATACGGGAACGAGGGTGAAGCCTGGTAGAAGCCTAGGCACATAATATGTGACCATTATTTTGTTATGTGAGACTTTATACTACAAAACTATCCTGTGCAATGTGCTTGAACGGTCAAAGGTCAAAAGTCCACTGCCACCGTAAGCTACTATCGGTTGCGCTGCAGCGCTTATACACACATGCACACTCATATTTTTATCCGTGTGCGTACGCGTGCGTGTGTTTATGCGTACGCACGCGTTTTTGAACACATTAATATGAACACATTAATATGAAATTACTTACGCATTGCCGTGTGAACATCACTCACGGTGGCAGTCGACTTTTGACCTTTCACTTACATAATATACTATGTAAACATAGGGTTCTTCAAGAAGGGAGTAAATAGGTTTTATGAGGGTCTGCAAGGCACATGTAATGCCCCAAGAGTTGCACGCCTTCAGAGACCATGGTAACCACTTACCAACATGTGCTTTTCTTGCCATAGTTGTGGTATAAAAAAAAATACAGTTATGATGTCTATATAGCTTTACCTTTTGATGAGGATCATTTTCGATCTTCTCCATGATCCTGTCAGGTGGCTTATTCTCATAAATCTTGTAATTTTCAATAATCTTGGCTGCTTCCTCTGGATTCCATGCCAACATTAGAGTTAAGTCCGTCAGCAAGCATATTCTTGTTAAATTTTTTAATACTACATGTGGATCTTTGAGGTCTACCTAAAATATAAAGTTCATACTATTAATCTATACTTTATTATAATATAGTAATGTACTTTAATATAAGCTGTTTGTTTGTTTGAAGCCGCTAATCTCCAGAATGAAAGAAAGAAAGATAAACCATTTATTTTGATACAACACAAAATAAGAATTTAGAAACACAAAAAAGCCTATGGTGTGTCGCAGGACTGTTCAATGACTGTTCCGATTTCAATAATTATTTTTGTATTGGATAAAGCATTTATCAAGGAAGGTTGTAGGCATCACACTATGACCCATACGAGCCAAGAAGCGGCTGAATCCTTGCCGGAGTAGCTAGTAAAAAATAGCATAATTTTTTGTCTCTTTAAAAATAAATAGTGAAGTAATTGACTTCAATAGTTATTTTTCTTTCAATTGTTCTCTATAAAGTTTATAGAAGAAACAAACAAAAACATACAAAAAATAGGTACATGAGAACTTACCTGTATTAATAGAACCCTAAGTTCATATTTCTTCCCAAGTTCCTTGATCCGGTTATGTATGTAATCTGGATTCATGTTGTGGTACCGCAGTGACAGGAAGAGCAGACATATTGTCTTACCCACCTCATAGTCGGGAATTATATCATCGTACTCCCAAGGAACACTTGTTATAAACTTTAGTACTGGATTTCCTCTCTGTAAAATAACTTTCAGATTGTACCAAACACAGACATGTTCAAACAGGTCCACAAACAGTTTGTTTTTAATTATTAAATTGTCTATATGAATGTATTAATATAGAATAATTAGCAACTATGCTAAACAATGCCTGCAATTTTTTTATGATATTTACATAACAAAAAAAATGGAACTGAGTACCTACAGAGATATTTAGAATAATCAAAACCAAATACTTATTACTCAAAACTCTCTTTGAATCAGTTGAGGCACACGAGATATTTTTTTCTAAAATTTTTGTGTCTTAATATGTAGATGTTCATCAGTAAATACCCTACCTGTTTCTGATTTACTAACACACAGTGTGTCTTAGAAGAAGCCGGCTTAGAAACAGGCTCCTTAGATGTTCCTGAAATTGAAGTTACAAGTATTAAATTCAATTGTATTCTTATAGGGCACTAATATATTGATTTTTAGCAAATTTACTACATCAACATTTAGTACAGAATTACAGATATTACATTTTTTTACAATAATCCTCTCACCTGGCTGAACTTGCTGTGGAGTTTCGGATTCAAGTTTTACTTGCTTTGGAGATGTTGGCTCACTGATTTGGGCAAGTAAATCGTCAAAACCGTCTTCTAATTCCATGATACTATATTAAGAAGTTAATCAAATAATAAAACTAATTAATAAGTTGCAAGTTTAAATTCAAATATTTTGCGACTCGTGCTTTTGTGTTTACCACACAGACCTACTATAATATGGACCAGAAGTAATGATCTATAGCTTATTTGCTTATACAAATATATATCAAATCGATATAGAAATATGAAACCACACTTTGTCTCTTTTTAATCAATGAGTTTCCTCATTTGAAGAAAGAGACGTCATGTTGTTTGTTTATTCTCTGCCTGGCAACATTTCTACATTTCTGACAAGGTACCTACCTCGCGTGCCAGCCGCCATCTTTAGGCCGCATAGTTTTGTAGTACATCAGGTGTCAAGCAAACAAAAACATTAGATTTGGATTGCGATTTTTAACAATAAAAACGCTTCCAACTTATTTGTTTTGTGCTGTGAGTGTCTAGTGGTGCATATTTAATATGTCTACTTGTTCAATAATTCAGTGTGGGGCAAGGAAAAACCCCAATCAACCTCATTTGACTATGCACAGGTTAGTAGCCGTATTTTAAGAAAAAACTTTATCATACTATTAGTTTTCTTGTTTATCTAGCCTTGTTTTATATATAGAATAAAAGCCCCCAAATGTACATTAAATTTGTTTATGATAACTAACTTCATTTGCTAAATTTGTTTAAGTTTTGTTTACAATACAAATGACGATTTACAAATAGTGATGTATTTTATTTAATAACATATCGATAAGAAACTAACATATTTTTAGTTTGTATGTTATGGAGTCCAGTAGAGTAGAGTATCAAAATAAAGGGTCTGAAGAGACCATTTTGAAAATAAATCTTACAGAATAGAAATAAAAATAGGGATAGTACCATAACATAATAATATCAATTCTTCATACAGTAGGTACTTTCATTTAGTTCAGTCTATGATTTGTACCACTAAATGTACAAAACTGAAATAATTTTTATGTTTTTTTTTATTTCCACAAATTCCCTAAAAATGAAGTGCTGCGTCAGAAGTGGCTTGAAGACATTCGATGATTTGTACCTTTAAAAAAAAATTCAAAGGACCAGAAGATTTTTAATGTATAAAACTCTGCTATCGATATCGATACTTTTTGGTTTTGACTACAGTACTTCCCTAGCAATGGCAGCCATTTTTAGGCCGCGGTTTCTAGTAGGTATGCACGCGTATTTTGTAGGTATTTCTGGTCCATATTATAGTAGGTCTGTGGTTTACCATTTATTTACTTTTTTGACAAGTTGACTTTTTTGACAGGATAGATTTCATTACATGATTTCATTCGTCCACATTTTGTGAATACGCAAGTAAGTTTGTTAATTCCAATAATAAGAATAAACTGTTTCTTTAGTAATTTTATGCGGTTTATGAGTAATTTTTAAATTCTAAGTAAATATTTAGATAACGTAACGATGATCTATGCTCCTTTTTAAATAATAAGACAATTTTATAATCTGTTGCTAGTTCTGTCAAAGTTCTGTCAATGTCAGCAGTCAGCACTCACCAGTACACGATCTGTCAAACTCGGTCAAACTAGAACCTAAAGTTTTCGTTTGGCCGCGTAAAGGTTTGCAAATGAATGTTATCTTTGTTTATTTGACTATGTAATATAATATAAAACATCAACTGCAATGATCGTCGATGACTCAAGTGTTGTAAACAAAGTTTAGAGTTATTTCGACTCAATACAAATCGTCCGATGTGAAAAATGTTTCTCTAATTTAGTAGTAACACAATGTGAAAGATTTACTATGAACAACCTGCCTTCTACTAGTAAATCAAAACAAAACGATGGATTCGAAGACGATGAAATATTCGAGGACTCTTCGTTGCTGGCTGATTTTGATAATTCCTTTGTGCAAAGATCTAAGTTCTCTGAAAGTAACTTAAATGATTCCAGAAACAAAAGTGCACTTAATATTAGGTATGTGTCTTAAATAATATTAAAACATATTTATGAAAATGTTTCTAGAACCAAACTTTTAAATCACTATATTTTTATTAATTATACTATTTATACTATCCCAATGTGGATAAAACTTGCAAATGTGAAAAACTTTAATGTTATGGCTATAAATACGTACAGTACTATAAATATATTACTTATTTCTTTTTTTATTTAAAATGTTGCCCCACACTCTGGATATCAAAGAGTTGTTCCGTGCATCCACTGAGCAAACCGTGCAGTCAACTCAATGTACTGTGGACCTTAACATTTTAACACAGTCTACACACTAGTACAGTTTACTTTGCATACACCCACTGCCGTTTACTACCATATAACTAATATTGTTTCCAGTGCTTTATGTTGTGATGAGGAGATCAGTGGATATGACAAGTTGACTGGCAAGACATGGATCTACCCAACCAACTACCCAGTCCGAGACTACCAGTTCAATGTGATCAGAGCTGCCATCCTTCAGAATACTTTGGTAAGACAATTTTAATTTATGTATGTATTAATTACCCACTCCGCTCTCCGCACTCCATTATAGACCTTATTTCCAATGTTTAGATACTACTTTTGTATGAACAAATTTAGGGGATGATTTTCAACGGGTTGAGACAATAAAGCTTGTACTAGACTAGAAGATACATTTTTAAAAATCAATTATCTTGCTAGTTATTTTATTCTTTTGCCCCTATGAAGTTCACAACACTTTTTACTTTTTTTTATAGTTAGTTAGTCACCATTCTTTCTATTGCCAACTATGTTCAAAGTACAATTTATTTACTTACTAGCTTTTACCCGTGGCTTCGCTCGCGTCACAAAAGGATTAAAAGCCTGTGACATATACCAATACACACAGCGCCATCTATACCAATACATTAGTTTTTCCTTGGGAATATCAATTTTTCCAGGTTTAAAAGTACCCTATTATTTAATCCGGACTTCTAACTTTTCGTCTGCAAAAATTCAAAGCAATCGGTGTAGTAGTTATGGCGTGAAAGTGGAACAAACAAACAAACTCACTTTCCGATTTATAATATTAGTAGGATTTTCGTTTAATATTTCTGCTCACAAAATAACACTTTGAATATTTTTTCACTAGAAATAAACATTTACATGTATTTCAAGCATTGTAGGAAAGGAATAATGTTTTGTTGATGGAGGATAAAACATTGGGTGTACACCAAAATTTTCCTGCACAAAATAATCCCACCGAATATTTAAGTAAATTGTCAATTTTGTTCCAGGTCAGTCTACCGACAGGATTGGGTAAGACGTTTATAGCTGCAGTGATAATGTACAACTTCTACCGCTGGTATCCGCTGGGCAAAATAGTGTTCACCGCACCAACTCGCCCATTAGTTGCACAACAAATTGATGCATGCTACAACATTATTGCTATACCACCCAATGATACTATAGAAATGACAGGTAAATCTTATATATTTAAATTACAATTTCTAACTGATTCAAATAATTGAAATCAAGTTTTCAAAACATTTACAAATAAACAATTTTAGCTTAAAAAGTAATTTGTAATGTATAATAGTGCCTTCTGTGCAACTAGCGAATCGCCCCGGCTTCGTACGGGTGCAATGCTTATGTAAATATACCTACTACAGAAGAACATCTTTTTTGTCATTATGTGTTATACATATAAACCATCGTTAACAATCACTTTATCTATTAAAAAAACTGCATCAAAATCCGTTGCATAGATTTAAAGATCTAAGCATACATAGGGACAGACAGACGGCGGATAGCGACTTTGTTTTATACTATGTAGTGATGGTATTCTATATGATAATGAGCGATTATTTTTGCAGGTCACATGCAAGTGAACACAAGGAAGGAACATTGGAAGAACAAAAGAGTGTTCTTTGCCACTCCGCAAGTAATTTACAATGATATGAAGTCTGGTATATGTCCTTGTGATAAAATCCGGTGCCTGGTGATAGATGAGGCTCATAGAGCTAGAGGAAACTATGCGTATTGCCAGATTGTATCCACTTTAGATGATGTTGGTCATAAAACGTACAGGATACTGGCATTGTCTGCCACTCCCGGAAGCAAGGTTGAAGATGTTATAAATGTGAGTGAAATTTTTCATGTGGGTGCATTATGCTTCAGTATGATTTGGTCGAGCGACCACAGTGATACCACTGCCTAGTTTAACAACCAGTTTCCACAACGTATCTATCTGTATTTCTGTACATTTGCTAACTAGAGATAGAATTGTGATAATAGGGGCTATGTTTTTATAATAACTATCGTGAGACATACTAAATTAACTAAAATCGCGGGTTACTCACGTGAATATACTGAGAAAAGCTCTACTAGTTTCGAACCACCGAGGGGTTCTTCCTCATGAGCAGCGTGCTTCTTAGTAGAGCTTTTCTCAGTATATTCACGTGAGTAACCCACGATTTTAGTTAGTTAATAATGGGGGCTACCACTTGGTAGATGGCGGAAATGTAATAAGAATTTTCTTTTTGTCCATTCACTGCAGCTGTCAAATATTGAACGTCCATAGGTGTGACACTACGTTATTCTCTATCGGACAAAAAACGAGAGGTACGCACTAGCGTCTCTGGTGACCAAAAATACTATCACTCCCATTAGGCATCAAGAGCTCTATAGAAAATATTATTATGCCAAAATTCTATCTTAAGTAAGCAAATCTAAAGATAAATAGATTATTATTCTAACCGGCTGTAACCAGTTTTGTGACGAGATTAATGACTATTTTGTCTTATTGTAGGTTGTAAAAAATTTACATATAGCTCACCTGGAGCTAAGGACTGAAAACTGTATCGACGTAGCGCCGTATAGCCACGCTCGTAAGATCAAAACTGTGGTACTAGAACTAGGATTTGAATTGACTCAACTTAGACAGCAATATATTGAGGTAATAACATATCATTATTAGCTTACAAAATAATATATTGTATTTTATCATTATTAGATTGTTGCGAGGTCAAGACAATGGGTTCTGCAGCATTGCATAATTATGTATTTTGTTATTTTAGTTGACCTTTTCGCTAGAATCCATTGACCTAAATTAGTCAAAAAAATGCTGTAATTTCTAAACTGTGTTCTGATTTTGATCTTAAAAATAGAACTTATTTTTTTCAGATTTTAGATGGGTACGCTAGAAGACTGAAACAGATGAACATACTACCTCCGAACTTAGGGAATCTGTCTAAAGGCCGGATTGTGATGTTGTATAAAGAGTATCAGACGAAAGATCGAAGTTTGAGGTGAGAAAACTATTGAAACAGTATGGTAATTCCAAGAAAATCTTAATCAGAAGACCTAAACCTAATTCTACTCCTCAACATGCTGGTAACGCCCTTAGGGTAGGCAACTAAATATTGTATGATTAAATCCCCCCCCCCCTTGGTCATACAATCATACTCACACAAGACAGGTACATGTACATGATACATTTAAAAAAGTCTGTTCAAGAATATTGTGGTTTATTCTTTCGCCAAATTACATACACTGACATCTCGCTTATTTTTGTGAAGTACTTCATCAGCTATCAAATAAGCCAACTTACAAATAATGAAGCATCTATTTATTATACTAATAATGAAGCATAAATTTATTAAATGAATTTAAGAACAGTAGTAAGTACCCACAGAACATATAAAGATGTTCTGTGTACCTATGTAGTAATAATTATGTAGGTACCTAGTAAGCACCTACATTATGTCAACAAACAAAACAATAACAAGCGCGACTGGCTGTGGCCGAGGCGAGAAAGCGGTACATTTGTTATTATATTACATAGTTATTAACAATAAATTAATATGTAAATCAGTACAACCCGAAGTAGTTGATATTTTTTAGAATTATCAAACAATAAACAACAAAAGCAACAACACAAGTTTTGCAAGGAACTACATAGCTAGATAAAAGATCCATATAGTACATATTTACATTACCTACCTTTTACTTCGGTCAATTCTCGTAACTCGAGTACACCCCTGCCTATGGTCATTACCAGTGATCGGAAAAAGGTGAGCTAATGAACAAAAACAAAAAGTGGAGACTTCCTACAACATTTTTTTTAGGAAAGTTCCGGTTCCAGTTTCGGGATATTTATATATTACATTTAATATAATTGTTATTATTACAGAAAACAATTGATTTCGTTTCGTGATTTTATTTCTTAAATTTATCCCAAAATAATTTTATTTTATGCTCTTTCTTACATCTTAAAATATTGTTGATAACAATAAAAGTTTTAATTTTGTTTGGTTTTGTGTTCAATTTAACAAATAAAATCACCACTTTACAAACTTACAAATTTACAAACACGACAAATACGACCGACACGACAGATACGACCGACACGACAAATACGACAAACACGACCGACACGACAAATACGACAAATGCGTCCGACACGACAAATACGACAAATGCAACCGACACGACAAATACGACAAATGCAACCGACACGACAAATACGACAAATGCGTCCGACACGACAAATACGACAAATGCGTCCGACACGACAAATACGACAAATGCAACCGACACGACAATGAGGACAGATACGACCGACACGATAAATACGACAAATGCATCCGACACGACAGATGCGACAGATACGACAAATACGACAGATACGACCGACACGACAGATACGACCGACACAACAGATACGACCGACACGACAAATACGACAGATGCGACAGATACGACAAATACGACAGATACGACCGACACTACAAATACGACCGACACGACAAATGCGACAGATACGACCAACACTACACAAACGACAATCGAGGTACTCTCGATTGATTTCGAGGACGCTCGATGGTTTTCGAGGACGCTCGATAGTTTTCGAGGACGCTCGACTGATTTTGAATAGCTCTCGATTGATTTCGAGGACGCTCGATAGTTTTCGAGAACCCACGATAGTTTTCGAGGACGCTCGATAGTTTGCGAGGAAGTCTTGAAAGTGATCGAAGAACTCTCGATTGATTTCGAGGACGCTCAATAGTTTTCGAGGACGCTCGATAGTTTTTGAGGGTGCTCGATTGTTTTCGAGGACGCTCGATAGTTTTCAAGGAACTCTCGAAAGTGATAGAGGAACTCTCGATTGATTTCGAGGACGCTCGATTGTTTTCGAAGACGCTCGATAGTTTTCGAGGACGCTCGATTGTTTTCGAGGACGCTCGATTGTTTTCGAGGACGCTCGATAGTTTTCGAGGACGCTCGATAGTTTTCGAGGAACTCTCGATTGATTTCGAGGACGCTCGATAGTTTTCGAGGGTGCTCGATTGTTTTCGAGGACGCTCGATAGTTTTCGAGGGCGCTCGATAGTTTTCGAGGACGCTCGATAGTTTTCGAGGACGCTCAATAGTTTTCGAGGACGCTCAATAGTTTTCGAGGGTGCTCGATTGTTTTCGAGGACGCTCGATAGTTTTCGAGGGCGCTCGATAGTTTTCGAGGACGCTCAATAGTTTTCGAGGACGCTCGATAGTTTTCGAGGGTGCTCGATTGTTTTCGAGGGGGCTCGATTGTTTTCGAGGATGCTCGACTGATTTCGAGTAACTCTCGAAAATGATCGAGGAACTCTCGATTGATTTCGAGGATGCTCGATAGTTCTCGAGGGTGCCCGATTGTTTTCGAGGACGCTCGATAGTTTTCGAAGGCACTCGATTATTTTCGAGGACGCTCGATAGTTTTCGAGGACGCTCGATAGTTTTCGAAGACGCTCGATTATTTTCGAGGACGCTCGATAGTTTTCGAGGAACTCTCGAAAGTGATCGAGGAACTCTCGATTGATTTCGAGGACGCTCGATAGTTTTCGAGGACGCTCGATAGTTTTCGAGAGTGCTCGATTGTTTTCGAGGACGCTTGATAGTTTTCGAGGACACTCGATTGTTTTCGAGGACGCTCGATAGTTTTCGAGGACTCTCGATTGATTTCGAGGACGCTCGATAGTTTTCGAGGACACTCGATTGTTTTCGAGGACGCTCGAAAGTGGTAGAGGACACTCGATAGTTTTCGAGTATTTCTCAAATATGTTCAAGAACGCTCGATAGTTTTCGAGTAACTATGCATGTATTGCAAAGATATAGGGATTTTTTTCACCAAATTCGAAAAAGTTGATTATCTCAGAAACTAGCCACTTTCGGACCTAACCAGAGACCTCAAGGCTAATTTTGTAGGAATTTTGTATTATCATCTCCTGAGCGGAATACGTTGAGTTACAAGTCACCGTGTATACCATAAATGTTTTATTTCATAGTTTAGTTGTAGTTAATTTTGAATAGTCGGTAATGAATGAGCCGCTCGATATGCCGCCCCATATTCGTGCGCCTGTGTGCTGTTCACGCCCTGCACACCCGCTTACGGCGGGCCTGTATGTGAATGTATATTATGTTAGCCATTTTTTTACAAACTTTTATTATATTATTGAATCTTAATAAACGAGTTTGTACATTTTATATGTATGTTATTTATTCACGATATTTGTAATGTAGACAAAGCCATTTTTGCCTATATGGACTGCACGCCACTGGTGTCCATAGGCGACGCCGATTGCTTACCATCAAATGATCGGTCTGCTCGTTTACCGACGTATCACATAAAAAAAAACCTAGTACTTAAGAGTTTATTTTACGTTTAACATGATCGGAACGTTACCAAGGTTAGCCCTGTGATTGGTTGGTTCATTGAAACAGGCCAATCAGAGCGCCTATCGTGGCAACGTTATAGACAAACTCGTATCAAGTCCTCAGAGAACGACTGGATTGATTGCTCTATTTTTTAAGTTTCAAATGTGTGTACCGAGGCTTTGTTCCTAGTTGATTACTTTAAGTATAAAACAGACACGTACTATGTAAGCCCTCTGAATAAAGCACGTAGACTGCATTTTTCACCACCTTTACTCGCGCGTGTCGTAAGAGCCGACTAAGGAGGACTAGGGAGGAGCCCCTGCTCCTCCGTATTACTCCGCCGTATTTACCATAAGCGCACTCGGTGCCCATGCCCAGGGCCTCCATCCTCTGGGGCCGACAATTTCTACGACGGACACATACCCGCTAGAACAGGCCTTTGCCTGTAAGGGCAAGGGTAAGATGGGGCACGGAGCAAATATTTGTGTGCTCCACAAATTGTTATTTCGTATCTGGGTGTCATGTGTATGTGAACTTGTATGTTTGTAAACGCACCCACGGTACAGGAGAAAATCCTAACGTTAAAAAAGAACGTTACAAAGGGGCAAGGGGCCCTGAATTTTTGTGTGCCCAAGGGCACCAGCTTAGTCTAAAACGCCCCTGTGGGGGAGCGCTTAACACCATGCAATTCTGAAAAACGGAATCCTTTTAAACTCCGATCTTCAACCCTCCTTCCAACCATGGTGATTCGTCTCCTCGTTTGCCTCCTATGCCATAAATGAAATAGGTTAAAAAAATAGAGATTGACAAACATTTTTCAAATATACGTCCTAATATTTATGTGACCAATGCAAAGACCTATCTTCATCATTTTTTATTTGTTTTTAAAGACACCCGCAACACAACTACATAATGAAAGACTTCACGATTCTGATCGCTCTGTACCATGGACTGGAGCTGCTAGTCCAGCACGGTTCTAGAATATTCCTCAACTTCTTCGATGAACACCCGGAGAAGTCCTGGATGCAGGCTGATGATAGACTCACAGCCTTGCTGGAGAGGCTACGAGACGATCTGGGAGTAAACCCATTGTCGTTAGACAGGAGTATACTGCCTGATGGGACAATACCTGAGGTAATTATTTCGTATATCTTATAATATTATTAATGCGATAGATTGTGTGTATGTTTGTTACTCAATCACCTCAAAACGTCTGAAGGGATTGTGATAAAATTTATTTATTTTGTAACGCGTGTTACAGACAAATTCAGTCAAGAATAAGTAGATATTAATGTCTCTTTCTGAACTCTCAATCGAGACGAAAATGCAAACATACCCAATAATTGAAAAAACATATAACTATAGTCAGAATTTTAATTCCATTCCAGTTTTGACATTGGCTACTGTCATTCTGTGAAATAATGATACCACATATAATAGTGTACTGATGAACACAAAAATCAATAAAAATCAGTGTGTGTGTTTTATAATAAATGTTAAAGAAAGTCACAGCGATAGCGATAGTGATGACGGCGACAATTTATAAAATAAATTATCACCATAATACATCTATCTGTTTTATTTGTCATGTTCGAAGGAACATGGCCCATGGTTACATTTTTTTATTTATTTCACACACAATTATAAAAAAAAAGTCTCAGATCGTTAATTAATCGTCAAAACTAAATTATCGATCAGAAATATTTAATTTCCTGATAAACTTAGTTTACGAAAGTAAAATTATAAACGAGAAGAATCGATCCTGAAATATTCAATTTCCATATCGAATAATTTCGCAACGTCACTATTTAGTACTTGTCATAACGTTGCAACACTGAAATTGTCAAATCTGGAATCGAATTAAAATTCCGACTATAAGTACTTAACATAATATAATAAACTTCATTATCATTTATTCTGCAAAATATATTGTATCTATTTACAGATGCCAAAAGACTTGACATTCGGTCATCCCAAGTTTGATAAACTGAAAGAAATAATGACATATCATTTTGCTAAAGCACAGCAACTGAAACAGGATACCCGAGCAATAGGTAAGTGGCAATATCGTTAAAATCAATAAACAGATATATAGATGAATAACTCTTTATTATACACCATTTAAGCTGCATTACATTTTTTCGTACCAAAATGAATCTTATGTACAATAGGTTACAGGCAACCTATTGTATATAAGATTCCAGGTTAAGGTTTCAGGCAACCTTTAGTAACTAGAAAATTACAATTTTTTTCAATGTGCAATCTTCGTCGAGACTTCTTTGAAGTTCAAATACTAGTCTTGTGTGACCTATTTTCGATAAAGGCGCCATCTACAAAATATTGAAGTAATTGTAAAACAAATATTGTTTGTTGTCAGTATTCTGCGAGTACCGTGAGAGTGTGAACCTGGTACACTGCCTATTGCTGCAGTGTCGCCCGCTCATCAAACCGATGATGTTTGTAGGACAAGGTGCCTCTGGTAAGTGCATATGCCATTTATTTTACTAGCTTCTCCTGCGCGTGATGTTTTATAGCCTATCTGAGGTCTTAGTACGACTTTATTTATTTATTTATTGTTTATGTACATACATACAACACAAATGACAACACAGATAAAAACGAGGTACATAGGACTTTGGTTTACTCCGGCTCCATTGAACCAGCCACAGCCCATTAAAGCACCGAACGCTGTCTCAATTTCAGAATTAAGATGTAACAATTATTATTAAGATGGATAAGTGAACTTTTTGCTGTAATATCCTGTTCTTTGTTTGCAATGCGTGTCGTGGCACCATTTAATTAAGGCTACACTATACAATGTTAAAATATATTAAAAACCTATCAAAGCGTGGGAGAGCCATGCTTCGGCACGAATGGGCTGGCTCGACCGGAGTGATACCACGGCCTCACAGAAAACCGACGTGGAGTAACGCTTGCGTTGTTTCGTCGTGTGAGTGAGGTTACCGGAGGCCCAATTACCCTCCCCTTCCTCAATCTCTCCAATTCCTGAATCCCCAACGATCCTAATCCCCAAAAGGCCAGTAACGCACTTGTTATGCCTCTGGTGTTCTAGGTGTCCATGGGCGACGCCGATTGCTTACCATCAGGTGATCCGTCAGCTCGGATACCGGTTTATGCCATAAAAAAAAATTATTTTGGTGTATCCTTTATTGGTTGGCTTTAAATAAGACTATCCATCACAAAAAAATATTGTATTAGAATCACTAGTTCTGGAGATTAATATTCAAACAAACTAACAAAGGAATTCTTCAGCTTATAATATTAGTATAGACTATTGAATACTTAGTCGTGGTGGCTCGGAGGTTTAAGACGCCCGCTTCTCATGTATGAGGATGCGGGTTCGAAACCTACCAACGGCTAGTACCAATGTGACTTTTTCCGAGTTATATGTACTTTCTAAGATTATCTAGACACCACTGACAAACGGTGAAGGAAAACATCGTGAGGAAACCTGGGCTTATATTTTCTAATTATAAGTTTAACATCGCCAATCCGCATTGAGCAAGAGTGGTGATTAATGCTCAAATCTTCTCCGTGTGAGAAGAGACTTTGCTCAGTAGTGGGCATTTATAGGCTGTTGATGATTATTTAATACTTACAGGCAAAGACGGTAAAACGATAGTATCTCAAAAGCAGCAGTTGCGTGTGATGCGCAGTTTTCGTGAAGGACAGTGCAACGTGCTGGTGGCCACGTGTGTCGCTGAAGAAGGGCTCGACGTCGGCTCCGTAGACCTCATCATCTGCTTCGATATATCCACCAAGTCACCCGTACGATTGGTGCAGAGGTCAGTCTTATTCCAACTAGTTAAGATATATTTTTCTGTGCCACAAGGTTATATGTCAGGGATGGCATGGGCACGCGTGTCAATGATGGTAGGTACCCAACACAATATTTTGGGTATATTATTGATCACAAAATCTGTCCTATGTCGTCATTTTTTTTTCATATATGAATACCATTGATGATTCAGTTACACAAATAACTCCACTTCAGCATGTACACTGCTTAACGAAGTACTAAAAATAATTAATTATTATTTTGATGGCTCATGTAGGAGGTAGGAGCTCAAACATTTTTTCTTTAGAATAATGACAAGTTGATACTTAAAGGTACGCCATCTTTATTATTTATTATATGTATTAGGGTTAATAAAAAAGTTAATATAATGTAGAATAACAATGCTTCAGTACGAATAAGCCGGCTCGACCGGAGTGATACGACGACTCCATAAAAAAAGCGGCTTGAAATAACGCTAGCGTTGTGTGTCACCGTAAACTGAGGTTACTGGAGTTTTGGAACAGAGCATCTAACTTCACTATTTGCCTGACTAAAGAACAATTCTTATTGGCGTTCCAAAAATCATGATTGTAATAATATTTTTTAAATTGTTTTTTTTTCACTTGGAAGGTGCGGACGAACGGGTCGAGAGCGTGGAGGTGAAGTATTTATTCTGGTGACTGAGGGCCGAGAACATCAGGTAAATCAATAATATTTGCCTTTATTTACCCTAACTCTAGCCATATTTACCTTTGACTGCTATAACTTAAAACCTACTGTTACTGCATTTAATCGGATAATTACATTTTGTTATATTCCTTACTGATTGTATTTGGACTAAGCATTATTATGGATATTTCTAAAATTCGCAATATACAAGTAATGACTAGGGATCAGGAATTATGTTCGAAAATATGAGAATAAGTTCACCTATCGACATCTTACTCTATAGTCACCGGAATACTGCACACAGCGTCGCGGTGAACCTAACGGGTTGCCGGGGCTCCGGCTCGAAGCGCAGGAGTAGGAACGGGGTGGTTTTTAGTCAGTTAGAGTCTGGCACTCCCTCCCGCCTCACCCAGGCGGGAGAAGTTATTCGATTAATTACCCCACTTAAAAATAAATACTGCACACAGCAAAGTGTGATATAGGAAATAACTAATATTATCAACTAGATTAAACTTATCGACTTACATTTAGATAAGAATCGGCCATTTGTAATTGTTTTACACTATTTACAATGTTGTAGACGTTAATAGAATGTATGCGACAACGAGATGGGTTGAACAAGAAGGTGCTTCAATCCAAAGAGGTTGAGAATAACCTGTACAAGCTGAACCCTCGTATGATCCCCCACGACTTCATGCCACAATGCCAGAAGATGTACATCACTGTGGAGAAGAAACAGGATCCGAAAGAAAAGGTTAAAGAAGGGATTGATAAGGCTAAGAAGGTAAGAAGTTTGAAATACTAGTAATGTTTAAGTTTTTTAATTGTTAATGGTAAGCGATGATACAGCTTACGATGGAACACCTTATCAGCCCATAAGGAACCTATTCAGTTGCGACTTGAATGATGAGTAACTACTTTATTTTTAAATCAAATTAGTATTGGAAATTCTAAATTATCATTGTTAAGGTTGCCAACGCACTACGGTTTTAATTCGCTAAACAGCCACATTTTACATAGCGGTAGTGTAAAGGAAAATAACCTCTAAAATTAGTACCAAAAAGATTATAATCCTTTGTTCAGGGACAGAAAGACCTGCGCGCAATGTTGGCTCGACCGTCTACGTCTACGTCTACAAGTTCGAGGGAAACTGACAGTAAAGCTTTAATCACGGAAGATGAGTTCAAGAAACTGTTTCCTGAAGGATACAGCAGCACTTCATTGTTTGCAAGACCTCAAGAGTACTGGGCGATGAGTAGAGGTAACTAGTAAAATTCATTTAAATCAAGTTGGAGGAAATTTTAAAAAAAGAACGAAAAAAAATATTTATTTGGCCACGACACACAACAAGAATACAGGTACACACGGCTACACATCGAGCTTTACATAACCAGTATAAACTGAACGTTAAATGTGCGGAAAGATGATGCGACGCGATACCAGGATAAACTGGTTTTGTATAGATTGATGTGCAGCGCAAAAGGCTGGAGCTGCTGTGGCGACAAACTGACTGAACTGAGGGCCAAGCACGAATAACTATCGCATTCGTATCGTAACAGTATTGAGCGAGTTAAGCGTTCTGATTGGTTAGTTCACTTGGGCCGGCCAATCAGAGCGCCGAACGCGCTCGATACTATTACGTTAAGAATGCTATAGTTATTCGTGCTTGGCACTCTGAACACACATACACACGTCGAAACCCATTTTTAACCGACTTCAAAAAGAAAAAATGTATATTCTGCTTGTCCTTTATGTATGTTTGTGTGACATTACCTCACGATTGGCTATACCGATTTTGATGCGGTTTTCCGAAAAGTATTTGTTCGGCTTAGGAAAAGGTTTTAGTATATTAATTAACCGACTTCAAAAAACAAGGGGGTGGAAGTTGGTTGTCTTAAACGTAGGTTATAAAATAATTATGCAATTTTTATTAAATACGAATGCTATTTTATATCAGAGGCCCAATTACCCCCCCCCCCTCCCCTTTTCCAATCCCTGAGTCCCCAACAATCCTCAAATTCTTAATCCCAAAAGGCCGGTAACGCACTTGTAACGCCTCTGGTGTTTCAGGTGTCTATGGGCGACGCCGATTGCTTACCATCAAGTGATCCGTATGCTCGTTTACCGGCTTATCCCATAAAAAAGAACTTAAGGTCCTCATTCCTACTTTAGAGAAAATAAAAATCCTGACTGTTACCACAAAATACTCAACCAATACCCTGGCCATATTACCTGCACCGCGACTGTGCTTAAATAAGTCTCATTCTAACACTAATCTATACTTAATATTATAAAGCTAAAGAGTTGATGCAACTACTTTTGTCTCTGGCAATAATAATTATTAATTTTGTGTTAGATACTCCATTTCTCGAGGAATGCTTATAAGCTGTAAAAGCAGCATAACGCATAACGCTATGATTAATATGAGCCGAGTAGCGATTGAAATGAAACGGCATAGAAAAACTAGTTTTTTAGTTAAAATATTATTTTTCAGGAAAATTAAAAGACATCAATACACCAGATGGAACAGTACTGAAACTGAGTAATTGGTTGGAATGGCAGCGAAGTCTACAGACGACGGTGAACGTACAACACTCGAGGGATGCAGAGATACTGGCGGAATTGCTGCAGTATAGTGATGCTAAGAGATTCGACATGCCTGTCTCTACGCAAAATCCTTGTAAGTATTCTTTAATAAATGATTTCCAACATAACATAACATCACGCCTTTTATCCTCGAAGGGGTAGGCAGAGGTGCACATTACGGCACCTAATGCCACTGCACAATATAACACCTTTTCACTATTTATGTTATGATATCCCATGTAATAGGGGGTGAGCCTATTACCATATACTGGGCACAATTCCAGACTTCGTAGTACTTCTGAGAATTTATTAAAAAGCCAGTAATACTTTGCCTGTCCCGGGAATCGAAACCGAGACCCCTTGCCCGGCAATCGCACTTGCGACCACTCAGTCAACGAGGCATTCACTCAGTATCCTGTCCAAATGAATAATAAAGTAGGTGTATGCACGTAATTTTGATCTAATAATACTTGGGATTTTTTATATTATAAGTTACATAAAGACTAGCCTTCAACCATCGCCAGGTCAACAAACAGTTTTAATTCAAAAATTGGAAACTTTTTCTATTCCAGGCTTCGGCAGCCAAGAACTTCGTTCCCAGCCCCTCTTTTTAAGGTCTCCAGCTAAAAATATGTCTCCAGCAAAAACAAACAGATCTCCGGCCAAAATCAATAAACAAGCAATTAAAAAGAAACAAAAACTCCCTTTAACAAAGCCACAGGATAAAAAAGATGGTGATATTCGAGCTCTATTTAGTACTGCAACAAAATCGACTAAAAACTACACTAAACTTATCAGTGACTTGGGTCTACAAACTGATAGTGGTGTGCCTACACGACTTATAAGCTTACTTGTAGACCTAAGCCTCGATAATACAAATACTAACAAGAATTGTTACGTCTGTGAAAACATTTGCGCTTGCAATCTTTTAAAAAGTAAAAAGGAAGATAATAAACTTCCAATGGTAGTTTTAGAATCTATAAAACAACCTAGACTACCTGACATATATTTGATCGATGATTTTGATGCAGAAACAATAATGAAGTGTATGAAGAAGTCTGATGAAAATGATGATGATGTTAATATGGACAATTTTGATTTAGGAGACGATTTTCTTTGTGAAAGTCCCGTTTACGGTTCTCCTATTGAAGAAGACAATAAGAAAGATGTAGTGACTGCAGCTACAGATAATTTTGATATAGGTGACATTGATGATATATTTGCTAACAGCAGTCCGGAAGAAGCTATAGAAAAAGAGATAGATAAGAACGACAAGCCTGTGATGAAAGAAGAACGTATGAGAAAAGACGAAGTGCTTCCAAACAACACGGAAGTATTTACACAAGGCCAAGTGCCTCAAGGCAAAAGTGAAGTACTTGTAGGAAAAGGCCAAGAGCTTCAAGACAAGAGCAAAGTGCTTGTAAGAAAGGACGAAGAACCGAAGGAAGCTAAAGACACTCTAGGCTTCTTCGGTTTAGACAGCATTGATGACATATTTGCTGACGACGAAATTGACAATACACCTCCAGAACAAACCCAAAATAAAACCAAAGATAAACCAACACAAAACACACAAATCAATAGATCACCTTCTATACAATACCCACTCAGTCCCTCCATTCTATCTGGTAGGGTAAAACTAGATATACCGACTTCGCCTATATTGTGCAGTCAACCTCGGAAATTCCAATTAAGCACGAAAAAGAATCGATCACCGAATTCTACACTAATTGCACATAGTTGTAGAAAGCAATTGATTCAAGATTCAACACACAATAACCTTGATAAGGCTGAGCAATCTGAGAGTTCTAAGAGAGCTAGTCTTATAGATACTAGCAACAAAAGCCTAATGACGATCACACAACTGGTAGAAATGATAAATAAAACTGGTAATGAATCGACATCAATAACAAATGTTTCCAATAGAAAGCAAGAAAAAGAAAGAAGTCTCTCTCCCATACTCCTAACGCAGGCTGAGAAGAGATCCATTATCCATACAAACTCAATAGACAGATCCTGTGTCAGTACAAACGCTTTAGACAAATCTATCGCTTCTACGTCCAACACTAAAGACAGTCTCATCGTACTAGACAGTGACAGTGATTCAGACAGCACACAAGTTTATGACGTCACAGATTACTTTAACACTAATAACAATAGTAAAATACACGATACTAATATCAGTCCTATAGCAAACAAGAGAAAACGAAGCTTGGACGATAGTAATGTAATAACGGCTTCTCCATATTTCAATAAGAAACAGAAATTAGACAACGAACCCGCCAAAGAAATAACGTTACAAGAAAGAGTGTTAGCAGTTATGAAAAAGAATAAAAACAAAATCATGAACAATGACAATACGGTACTGAATTGTGTTGTGTCGCAAGGATTCTTGTCTCAGAAGGAAAATAAAAATCCTCAGCTTTTGAACGGTGATGCTGACGACGAAAAAAGTGATGAACAACAAAAACAAATGAATTTAAGCATGCTGCAAATGTTCAGACGAGAGAACAAAGATCAAACAGTCAGGAACAAGTTAAGCACAGTATTCAAATCTCCCAAATCCCCGCTACTCGATAAACGGAAAATAGCTTTTGAAGATAGCGATGACGACTTTGAAGACGACAAAAACTTTGGTCCTAGCAACCGTACGGGGAACAAAATGGATGACACTTACAGATCTACAACAAATCACAAAGTACGGAAAGTAAGTCGCTCTTGTTTATGAACTAAAATCTAATGCGCGGGTATTGAAAGGCTACTCTTCTTTCTACAATTTTAAGTTGTACTTAAATATCGTGCCATCTATGTCATTTAACGAAAAATTTTTAGTAACAGAACTATACTTAAACGCGACTTAAATTTTAGTGGCGTTTGAGTATTTGGACATAGACCTAAGAGCAAATATACATCAGTTACTATATATTTTGGTATTCTCTTTGTTGCTTATATTTTCGGATTGTTTTTTTAAAACTTACCTTTGCCTTATTCATGTTTTTAGAAAAAGAAAAAAAATAACGATTTCTTGGATTTGGAGGCTGTACTGACGGATGAAGAAGATCACAGCGGTGACGAGCTATCTGACGAAAGCATCGGTAGCATAGTGGACTTTATATGCGATGATGATAACACCACCCACCACGAGGATATACAAGCTGTTTACCTCAAGTCTGTCAAGTAAGGGAACATATACTAACACTACACGACGCTATCAACTCTTATTTTGTCCCTAAATATCTGATTATTGTATATAATTAAAAATCTATTTATCCTATATATACTGTACTCGACTATTGCAGTTGTAACGACTCGGCCCACAACGTAGTCAATCAATTTGGTAAATGTAAAATTAAATAACTTACCTTCGCTCACTATGTTGACCACTCTTCTCGGCAATGTTTCTCGAATAAGTCCCACACACCAAATATTAGTAACATAATGAATGACGATGAACTTAATGTATCCACTTTTTTATTTATATCTCACCCCCTATTACATTGGACTCTTAACGTAAATTGTGAAAATTGGGTGTTAAATTGTACAGTGACATAATGTACACCTCTGTCGACCCCTTCGAGGATAAAAGGCGTGATGTTATGTTATGTTTTTTATGATTTTTTTGTGAATTCAAGTTTTGTTTAAAAGCGCATCACTATGACCAGGGGGCTTACTCTTAAAACCAATTCCGATCAATCATCATTGATATTGTGAAATGTCGTACTCTTGAGTCGCAAAACTAGCGCCCATTGCGTCCGTATTGCATGGATATTGAATGAACTAAGTGGTATTGAGTGATCTATAATCCGTAGTCTGAATGCTATTTTAACTAAGATTGGGGTTGTATAGTGTTGACATTGAATAATTATTGATATTCTATTGGATTGAAATTAGTTCCAAGAGTAACCGATTTGTTGAATTCAATGCTTTGTTGTTGTCTTTCAGGAGCCCTGTAAGAGGCGGCGGTTTCAAGATACCAGAATTACCAAAGAGGTTTAATAAGGAAGATATTTTATCTCAGTATGTTGAAGAAGATTCATATGAAATGGTATGTTTGCAAAAAGTATTTTAGTTAAGGCTGTATCTCATCGGTTTAAGGTCGCTTTTCGCCTACTTTTAATATATTTATCATTGCAGGATAGTTTCTGTGTTGACTCCAACATCGGTTTAACGCAAGGGCATGAAATATCAGAGCTAGAATTAGCAGAAATGAAATTAGAGGCGAAAAGGAAAGCAAAGAAAAAGTACAGGCGAATATGTTCGCAGGAGGAAAGTCCGGATATGGCAGTGGTAAAGAAAAATAAACCTAAAAGGAGACTTATTGAGAGTGATTCTGAAGATAGTTCTTAGACGTATAGTTAGTAAATGTATCTGGTGCTAGAAGAACATAATGATAATATCCACTAGGAGAGTGTAGTATATTTTTACACTTAAATGAAGTCACGTACTTTTGATGAGATAAAACTAAAATAATAAAGGCATTCCGTAGCAATAAACGGATGTACGAATCTCCCATCGGCGTCAGATTTTGTATAATAGCTCACAAGTCTAACTTTCGTGTGCCATATTATAAGTTGGACATTGTAATGCAGTAAGTTACATTAGTCTTCAGTGAAGCTCTTTATAAGATTTGTTACAATATCATTCAGCCGGTCTGAATATGTCACTGTGATATAAATTATAGTTATGATTTAATAATACTTTGTATTAATTTTTAAGTGAATTGTAATTGCAACTTGTAACCTATTATGTAATTAATGCTAAGCACTTGATAATTTTCTATGAATAGTTGTAAATCATGTTGTAAATAAAACATATTGTATTGCTCTTATGAATTACGTTTTATTTCCGATTTTCGTCAGTCTAGTACTTAGGAAATATTAAGAAATATATAGAAGTTCAATTCGAGCTAGTAAATTGGAAGTTTGCTTGCCAAAGAAATACTATTGTTTACAATATTTTAAAATAATTAAAAAATAGCTGCTATATTTAAGCCAACAACGTTTTCAAATGTTTGTAAACAAATGACTAAGGTAAGAATACAATATCTGATCTCACCAAATAGCACTTTTCTGTGCTTTTATTCTTTTGCTATCACCAAACTGAGTGAAGAGAAAAATGAAGAAAGTTTTACTTTCAGAACCGCTATATGTTATTTTGGATATTATTCCAATGATTTTAGAGTTCATATTACTTTATTTCGATACAATCTACTGTACCATGCCGCCGGTGAGCGCCGGCCCTTATAGTCCGTTTACAAACATTTCGTTTCGATCTTGGTCTAATTATAGTAGAATCACACTGCATATCTAATAAGCAAGGCTCCAGCGCGCTGTCGGCAAGGTGTAAGCACGTGGGCGCCTCGACTACACCTCAAGTGAATCGCGCGCTGACCACTGGCCGTCGGCTTATTGTATTGACGTTATGAAATATATCATACGACATACGATTTAAAGTTCATATTTAAATGACAACTAAATTATTGAGTTGGAGGCGTGCTTATTAGATTTATCGTTACGGAGATGCGGCGCGTCTCCTTGAATGAGGCTTTACTGTTTTGTGTAATTACTTCCAGTCTAAATAAAACAAATGCAAACTCCATCAGCAAGATCGAACATCTAATACATGGAACATATCGTAATCATCTGTATTTGTCATTCAATAATATAATAGTTTATATGTTATTCGTCCGAAGCTTTCGATTCTACTTCCTTCGGCTGCCTTCCTTTGTGAAGATCCTCTAATTCCGTTTGAAGTTCTGAATATCTTTTTTGCAGTTGTTTTTCTCTTTCCGTTTGACGGTTCACATCTTCAGTTAGTGACTGTAATCAAATAAAACAATTTTATTTACATTTTATCTTTAAATAATTTCAACTGGACGATTTACAATATAGTGAAGGGCAAAGTTAGGATAATTAAAGTATTTTAAATTAAATTCGAATGAAGATTATTCATATAATCATATTGTATATTTTAGGGCACGATTTGTCGTTATTATATTTAAAAAAATATATTTCGTAACTCACCTCTATCCTACGTGGAATGGCTGCTTTTTCTTGTTCAGCAAGGAACTTGAATGTGGACAGTTCCAAGTTGGCTTGTTCTATCTGGTCTTGTAACTCCTGGAACTGTTTGATGAGGGACGCTGCCCTGCTCTGGTACCCACCTGGTAAAACAAAGAATTTATTCGTTTATATTTCAGATAAAGTGATCCATCAAGATTGTAAGGCTTTCATCAAGAATTTAATGATAAAATTTTCAGATAAAGTGATCCATCAAGATGTTAAGGCTTTCGTCATGAATTTAATGATAAAATTTTCAGATAAAGTGATCCATCAAGATTTTAAGGCTTTCGTCATGAATTTAATGATAACATTTTCAGATAAAGTGATCCATCAAGATTTTAAGGCTTTCGTCATGAATTTAATGATAAAATTATTAGTACTGGTTTAAAGAGTCAATTTTCCTACGGTTGCGTAAAATGGGCAATAATTTGAGCCATCAACCATTTAAAAACATCAACATACCTGTCAAAACTCTCAGTTTCTTCTCCATTTTGGAACATTTCTTGGCTTCCTTAGCCATGTGACTCCTGTTTTGTTCCAACCGCTTTTCAGCAGATTCCAATCTGTCTTTTTTACTAGCTAAATTGGCACGAGTGTATCTGTTTTGACCAGGCAAGAAGAGAACCTGAAAAGTAACATTAGTATTCAAATACAGTCTTGGGTGGCATTACACAATGAGTTTTATGACGAAAAAAGCTTTCTATATTTGTAGCGCAAAATAAGTTCTTATTGTTGCGCAAAATAAACTAATGACTTGCGCAAATTACTACTCACTTGTGCAAGACACTCTTCCCAGACTTGAGTGTAGGCGTCCATGCTGAGTTCTCCGTGGCCCATGCCCGCCTTCACGACTTCCATCTCCTTCTTCATCTCAGCTTTAGCGGCTTCCAATTCTTCAGAAGAGAATTCCTCGTACGGATTCTGTTCTAAATACGCTAAGTGCGAAGCTTGTAACTGCACTGCTCGTTTCTTGTCTATTCCTGTTGTGTGAAAAGTTTATGGTATAATTTTGTTTTTATTTATATCACAGTAGGAACAAAGTTTACAAGCCGCTTCATGGCATAGTATTTTGTTTTAAATACAGTCCTGGTCTAAAAGCTTTCCAGATAAGTACCGCCATACTGCAAAATTGAATTTCCCTACGTTTTCATTGGGAAATTTATTAATGCTGCTTTCATTTATTTATTTATGGATGAAAATAAACGTTTCGAAAGAACATAACGTTCACTGTCAAAACGGGTGAGGGTACAGGATAAATCTATCGTCGCGAACAGTAATCGAGACTCGACTCAAAACGACAAACGGGTGGAAGAAGCAAGATGCACACGTACCAGGCGGCGGGTCTCGCAGCGAGTCGTAGTGCAGCATGGTGAGCATCTCGTGTTTCAACAGCTCCTCCGCCTGCTGCAGGGCGGAGAGTGCCCCGCCCTGTCCGCTCTGCCCCGCCGGGCCGCGCACCACGCTGCCGTTGACCTCGCCGGGTCGCACCGCGCCGCGCTGGATCGCCTGCGACCGCAGCTTCAGCGCTGCCAACCCTGTACGAGAGTATACATATGCATTACAACTTAGAACACTTTTCCGACCAATTTTACGGGCATCCTGAAGAGCTTAGAAATATGTTCTATATTCAACCAATTTTATTCTATCTTCCCTTTGAAACTGAAATGTGACTGAAGTTTTAGTTTGATTTTAAACTTATTGACTATCTTCTCATTAATATCAATCAGCTTTCTATTATAAGTAGACAATGCTCATCGTAGACTAACAGAACATGGTATGAACAATGAACATGACCTCTAAACACTCGTTACGTATGTAGGTAACTACTCACGTATTTCTTCCTGTTCCTGCTGCAACCTGGCGTCTGCATCAGCCTGGTCTTCCACCTGCATGTCGGAGCTAGAGCTCTCCAAGGGCTCGTCGTCCTGGTCGGGGACCACGATCTCATAGTCGTTGCGCGGAGTGGGTAGCGAGGACAAAGCGCTACGGACGGACGCTTTTTGCTGTCATTAGAAAATAATAAACACATTTTTATTAACTACATTAATTTTCACCTCGTTTTCTAATCTAGTAGAAATCTAGTTTTAAAGCACTTGAATCTTCAAGAATCATTTTATCTTGATGGAAATCTGTATAATCTGCTCAGACTGTGTTCTTTTTAATGACATAATCAGACAGAAGCAGTGAGGAACTTTGTTTTATTTATTGAAGTAGATGACAACTTAGTTAGTACTTTATATAATTTTCTTATATGCGATAAGAAAATTATATGAAGTTTTTACCATATAATAATATCATCAAAATCAGTACATACCTGTTTCTGCAACTGATTGGCAACTTGAGGTGTGTCGCCAGTGCTTAGTCTATCTTCTGGATTAATGCTTAATTTGTCACGAAGTCCTGGAGTCTGGAAAACGTATAAAAGTTATACCAACAGGCAACAAATAAAGAAAACATATGCATATTATGACGAAATAAGCTAGTTTCCTGTGCCATATCTATGACTTTTGTAGAAGAAAGGTTTAACATACAACTAGTCCTGGTTGTGCTGCGGCTTGACTGGGCGTATTGAAACTACCGGGAGTCGACACTTCGCTGCGAGATGACCTGTAGCAGACAATTACTATTTAATAAATTTTACAAATAGCTATTAAATTTATCAATAAAATAATTAAGTCAACTGTTAAATTGGGAATCATATGTTTTTACTAACCTGAATGGTGTGATTAGTACAGTATTCGGTGTAGCGACGGCCTGTGACTGTGGTAGAGCTCCGGAGAAGTCTGTCTGATGTAGCGGAGTGTTCAGACCTCCTTTGAGAGGTGTGTCCACGTGTGTCAGAGCCATCACGTTTTGTGCTTCCATCAGGATTCTAGAAAGCAAATTTAATTTCATATAGTGAGGGTCCTACACCTTGAAGAAAATCTTTTTGAAGCTCCATAGATCCAATGATTTGATTCTGATTGGTTAAAACATTCTCCTTATTCACAATTATTTTGCCTAATGAATTTGCTTGATATTCTGGTATGATTTACCTATAGGTAATATACATATAGATACATATGATAAGACTTCTTGCGATATGTGCTAATCATTAATCAATCAATTTACCTGGTGAAACCCGCTCGTGGGAGGGCAGTGAATCGATTGGTCACGGCAAAAAGAATAATGACACTGTTATACATGGAGCTTCTTTCAAAAGTTTAAAAGTGAAACAAACGCATATACAATGACCGTTTTTAAGTTTTTTTCTATAAATGTAATTGAGACTTGGCTGGGGTACTGCCGTGCCCCCAGATAAAGAGTACTAGCTTTAGCCCGCGGCTTCGCAGGCGTTTAATGATGTGCCTGAGTAATGAGTATTAGTGTGTACCTGTCCTGGTGCTGCGCGGGCGTGCGCAGTGCGGCGGGCGTGGCGGGCGTGATGGCGTACTCGGCCAGCAGCGCGTCCGTGGCGGCGCCCGCCCCGCCCGCGCTCTCCCGCGCCGCCTCCGACGCTCGCCCCAACTTTACCACTTGTTGTAACTCCTGTACCACGACAGAACATAACATTAATAAGTATAAAATTATCGCGCAACTCACTAATAATAATTTTAATGTAAGAAAATATTGAGGTGATGCAGAATATAGGAACTACAATGAGCAGGTGATATACTGCCGACCGGAGGGACACTTAGCCGCTAACAATATTCACCCAACACATTTGCTTATAGTCCCTGCAGACTATTTATCCCAGTAAAGTTGAGCCCAATGTAATTGACAATTTAAATTAAAATCACTTATAACGCAACTGCGCAACTGTTGCGCATTTATGACACTGGCTCTTTGACCTAAATGGTTTACCTGGTCAGTAACTTGCGGTTCCGGTAGCACCAGTTTGCTGCGCTTACGTGCGGGCTGATCTCCTTGCAGCATGGCTTGAGGCACGTCATTCTCCTTACGTTGCTTTAACTTTTGCTTATCCTTACGTCTGTCTCTCTGTAATACAACAATTCAAATTAAGAAAATACTCATACTACTAATATAACAAATGCGAAAGTTTTTAGGATGAGGAGCAAACATTCACACGGATGTTTGTTACTCTGTCAAGATAAAACAACTAGATGGTTTTGGATGGAATCTGGTACAGGAATAGATTAATAATAATAGTCTGTAATACATGGGGTAGTTTTTATCCCGGGAAGGCGAGGGAAACCGCTAGTTATATTCTAAAGCAGTGGTTCCCAAAGTTGTCTGGATTACGACCTATCTAAATCAAGTTACTAAACTCAGGGCCCACTTTTTGAAACTAAACCATTACCAATATGAATAGTACAATACAGAATGGTTGGTTAGTGTGATTCTATAAAGCCCACTAAAAATGTGCTAATGACTCACTAATAGCTCGCGACCCATAGTTTGGAAAACCCTGTTCTAAACGAAACTTAAAGATTACAGATTAATTTTCTTTCTCACCTCTTCCTTCTCTGAATGCAGCTCTCCATCAAGATGTTGTTGCCTGAGCCTCGAGAAGTCAGGTGCCATAGGATCTACCACTTCAGTGGATGTGTCATAGAATCCAGATGCCGGTTTCTTCTCAAATGGTATTTCCGAGTTATAGTCTACTCCACGCTTCTTCTTACGCCTGCAAGTAAATAGTAAAGTAATTTAATAAACCTGATTAAAAAATAGACAAGACAAAAAGCTATTATGTTGGTCATTAGTGCCACAAATAGTTTTTTTTTTTTTAAGGGGGGAAAATCATCGAATGACTGCTCCCGCCTGGGTGAGGCGGGAGGGAGTGTCAGACTCTTACTGACTAAAAACCACCCCGTTCCTTCTCCTGCACGTCGAGCCGGAGCCCCGATTACCCATTAGGTTCTCCGCGACTCCGAATCGGCATCGGCCCTATTAGGCCCCATCTGTGGTGGTCTGATGGATCTTTGAGGCGCGCGCGGAACGCAACGATGCCACAAATAGTAGTAGGTTATAATAATTATAATACCTGATTGGCACAGCAATGCCCGCAGCGCTCAATTCCCTGCGCTTCTGCAAGGCAGCAAGCCGTCTTGCCTCTTCCAGTTGCTTTTCCCGCGCCTTCCTCTTGGCTTTCTTACCCTGTGTGTTGGCTAAACGAGCACGAGCTTCTGACAGCATCTCCAGTTCTATGTGATACAAGAATTAAACAGGATAATTAAAAATGTAATTAATAATGTTTCAAATAAAAGTTAAGCATCACACATCATATTTTTTATAGCTTAGAGGCTAGAATACACAGTTTATGGTAAAGTTTTTCAATTAGGTCTAGGTATAAGAGTGATCAGTATAATATAGTATAGTAAGAAAGAAATGTAAATTTTTGTAAGTAAATAACATAAGCACCAAGGATTGTCTAGGCAAACAACCTATTGTGAAAGACTATAATAGAAATGAATTAGAAAGTTTTTGATGATATTATAATTAGTACTATCCTATAGAAATAATCACACTGCTCACCATCTTCATCCATATCCTTGGGGTCAGGCCTGGCAGGCTTGGTCTCTGGATTGGGGTCAATCTCACCAGGCTTCAGCTTGCGAGGATCATCACCCATATCCTCCCCCTCCTCCTTCTTTTGGGCTTGATCTCTGAATTATGATTAAAATAATAAATAAATTAATTTGCATATACTTGATATGACCTAAATTACAATTATAAGATAAGAGTGGAGAGCCATGCTTCGGCACAAACCGGCTGGCTCAACCAGAGAGCTGCCACAGCCTCACAGAAAACATAATTATGTGAAACAACACATGCATTATGTTACCTCATGTGTATAAGGTTACAAGAGGCCCAATTACCCCAATCTCTATATCCGCAACAATACTCAAATTCCTAATCCCTAAAAGACCGGTAAAGCATTTGTATCACCTCCTATGTTTCAGTTGTTGGGCAGGCGCCAATTGTTTGCCATCAGGTGATCTATCTGCTCATTTACTGGACTATTCCATAAAAAGAATTAAAGTGGCATACAGTTCTTGCTTTGACAATAATAGAAAACAAACACAATAATATGTTATTATTAATGTAGATAGCAGTCATACTAAGAGAATTAGCTATGGGTTCTTAAGTCTACTTTGACCTTTTTTATATATTGCAAAACAGTGAAACAGAATTCATTTTGCAAATAGGCTACAGAAGAGGACTTTTATGCATCAACATATTGAGGAAATCTAGATGAGGCCATGTTTGCCGCAGAAAGATCTTACTGTTACTATATATATATTGTTTTCATCTATATAGAATTCAAGTTTTTTTGAATCTCTTAAGCCTATAAGATAATTTGTTTTGCATAAATCTGAGTACAATTACATACAGTAATTATAGCACTCTAATTTTCAATGTTTTGTGCAGGTTAATCGTAAAAAAATATTGTTGTATAGCTTACAGCAAGTATTCGTATCTTTCCAAGCATTGCGCGGCAGTACGCCCTATAATAGGGGCGATAGTGCGCCACTGCGTGGGCATCAACTTGGCCAGGTGTAACAGCTTCTCGTCCTCTTCCCGAGACCATTCTGTCTTCTTGATGCTCGGGTCGAGCCACTCGTACCAACGGGCCTTGCATTGTTTTGCAGACTTTCTATGCAGCAGCGACGCAATACGAGACCATTGATTTTTCCCATATTTCATCACCGCCGCTTTGAGGATTTCATCCTAAAAACAACATATTTACACATTAAATTGAAACTACTTGGATAAGGCCAGCAAAACTGGTTACTTCAATAAAAATTTACAAACCTCGGTGTTACGCCAAACACCACCCTTTATCATAATTCGTGGCATGGTTTATGTTTTATTTATTCACCGATCACTAAATAATAGGTATTATTTAAGACAACTTATCAAAATTACTTTTGTCAAGTTTCACTATAAACTAATAATTACATATTTATTAGCAAAAAGATAACCCAACATGAATTCCAATACAGCGAAGAAATTTAGCGAAGCGAAGTTGACATTTGCAATGTAACGTCAAAAAGCTGTCATTATATTACAATTACGTTTTTTTCTGGGAATTTACTGTTTTGGTAGAAAAGGTAGAAAATAACAATCACTTAAAACACTAAAACTAATTTAAATGTATACATTTACTATAAGATAAAAATTAAATAAGCAAGTAATTATTTAAGTAGAAAATTTTAGATTTCTATATTCTTTTTATTTTATTTGCCTATTACTTCATAAAATGAATCGAGTCATCACATAAAGCAACACAGGCCACCGGCGGCGGACCGTGTTGCTCTATGAGTCATTACGCTAAAGTTAAGGGAAAGATTAAAAGACATGGTGCTCAACCATTTTTTTAAATAGCAGTTCAATTTCGATTCCATGAATGCCAACCTTTCAAAAAACTAGCAAATGTCAAACTGTTATAAATCTAAATGGATGATAGCGTTTCTGGCACTCCCTTTTCCTTGATTATTGATGAAAAAGTTTGAAAGTGCAGTGTAAATTGCTTAATATGCTTACCCAGTAGCCAGTTTAGTTCTTTGTATAACATGAAAAATTGATTTGCTGTGTAAAATTAATACGTGAGCGTAGCAATAATAAGGTAACTATGATTCAAGCATATTTATCATTGCGATGGTACTCTCGTGCTGCTTTGCATTCATCTATTGTTTTATTGCCATGATCTGCGGTCACAAATAGAAGAGTAGGTCAATTTATAAATGAAACACCAAGAGAAAATTAGTTCAGTTTCGGTCTAAAGGATACAGTATGTGCAATCAGGAAGGATATGATAACACAAATTGGATATGCGGCATTAGACCAATTGATTCATCAGTCGTGCTTAGTAATAGCCCGGGTCGTAGTTTCAATACCATAATTCTACCTTTGCTATCCCCTAATGTTGTTCATGCACTGTGACATTTATATGGGTTATGATATTGGTTTAATCAACAATTCAATTCTCATTCTTATTGAAATCAACTTTTCAAATGTTCAATATTAATCATAATTCAGAGTTTAATATATAGATAACCATGCTTAATTACTTAATTACATTGATTCCATGTACTAGTTATAAATAACAAAATAAATGTTCTCAAGGGAATTAGTTCCTGTTACTAGTTATATGGATCTCTTTCCTGTTTTTGTTTTAATAGACCACGTTAAGTACTTAATAAAATCTATTAGTTATTTGTGTTAATACATAATACATCTCTATTGTTGTAGAAACATCAACCATGTCAAGATCAGTTCATATCAGCCAGCAGAAGCTGGCTGAAAAGCTCATTATACTGAATGACAGAGGAATTGGAATGCTGACTCGCATCTACAACATCAAGAAAGCCTGTGGAGATGCTAAATCTAAACCAGGGTTCCTATCTGACAAGGCCTTAGAATCCTCTATTAAGAACATTGTTAGGAGATTCCCCAGCATTGATGTCAAAGGCCTCCAAGCTATTACCAACATCAGAAACGAAATCATCAAGTCTCTCTCGTTGTACTACTACACATTTGTTGATCTTTTAGATTTCAAAGACAATGTGTGTGACCTCCTCAACATTTTAGACTCATGTCAGGTCACATTGGACCTGACTTTAAATTTTGAATTGACAAAGAATTACCTTGATCTGATCACCACTTACATTTCATTGATGATTTTACTCTCAAGAGTAGAAGATCGTAAAGCAGTGCTGGGCTTGTTCAATGCTGCTCATGAAATGGTTCACAATCAAATTGATCAAAGTTTCCCACGGTTGGGTCAAATGATCCTAGATTATGATGCTCCATTGAAGAAGCTATCAGAAGAATTTATGCCACATCAGAAGGTACTTTGTAGTGCCCTAAACTCACTGTGGCAAGTGTACCCTGCAAGAAATTTAACCGCTGAACACTGGAGATCTGAACAAAAGTTGAGTTTGGTGAGCAACCCTGCACAACTGCTGAAACCTTCAGAGACAAACACCATGTCCTGTGAATATGTGTCACTGGAATGTTTGGAGAGATGGGTAATATTTGGATTTGCAATTTGTCACCAAATGCTGCAACAAGATCATGCTAACAAAATGTGGGTCAGTGCCTTAGAATCGGGTTGGGTTGTGGCTCTGTTCCGTGATGAAGTTATCTATATCCACAGCTACATCCAGAGTTTTTTTGATGGTATAAAAGGTTATGGTAAACGAATTTCCGAAGTGAAAGATTGCTATCACCATGCTGTACAAAAAGCCAGCTACAAGCACAGGGAGAGGAGGAAGTTCCTGAGGACTGCTCTAAAGGAACTGGGTCTCATATTGACTGATCAGCCAGGGTTATTGGGACCCAAAGCATTGTTAATTTTTATTGGTCTCTGCTATGCTAGAGATGAAGTATTTTGGTTATTAAGACACAATGACAATCCACCACAAAAAGTAAAAGGAAAAGCAGCTGAAGATTTAGTTGACCGTCAGTTGCCAGAACTTCTGTTCCACATGGAAGAGCTGAGAGCTCTCGTAAGGAAATACAGTCAGGTCATGCAGAGGTACTATGTTCAGTATCTATCAGGTTTCGATGCTGTTGCTCTAAACTTGATGATACAAAACTTGCAAGTCAATCCTGATGATGAGAATACAATTCTCTCTTCACTATGTAGCACTGCAGGCAATTTAAGTGTGAAACAAGTTGAAGATAATGAGCTGTTTGATTTCCGAGCATTTCGCCTTGACTGGTTCCGTCTTCAAACATACACGTCGGTTGCTAAGTGTGCTTTTAACCTTGTAGACCAGAGAGAACTTGCACAGTTCATTGATAAAATGGTCTTCCATACAAAAATGGTTGATAACCTTGATGAAATTATGGTGGAGACATCTGACTTATCCCTCTTCTGTTTTTACAGTAAAATCTTTGAAAGTCAATTCCACATGTGCCTTGAGTTTCCGGCGCAAAATCGTTACATCATTGCATTCCCCTTGATTTGCAGCCACTTCCAGAACTGCACTCACGAGCTATGCCCGGAAGAAAGACACCACATTCGAGAGCGAAGTCTGTCTGTAGTAAACATATTCCTTGACGAAATGGCCAAAGAAGCAAAGAATATCATCACTACGATTTGTGACGAACAGTGTACCATGAGCGATAAACTACTTCCTAAACATTGTGCGCAAACTATTGCTCACTTGGCGAATAGGAAGAAGAAGGACAAGAACAAAAAGAACACAATAGCGATTGTACAGCCGGGCGCAGAGAGCTATAGGAAAACACGAGAGGAGCTGACTACCATGGACAAATTACACATGGCATTAACAGAGCTCTGCTATGCCATCAACTATTGTGCTACTGTCAATGTGTGGGAGTACACGTTTGCACCGCGAGAATATTTACACCAACACCTGGAAACACGATTTTCCAAAGCATTGGTTGGTATGGTTATGTTCAACCAGGACACAAGTGAAATTGCTAAACCATCTGAGCTGTTAGTCAGTGTTCGCGCTTACATGAATGTCTTGCAAACAGTTGAAAATTACGTTCACATTGACATTACTAGAGTGTTCAATAATTGCCTTCTACAGCAAACACAAAATACTGACAGCCATGGGGAAAAGACTATTGCGTCCCTGTACACACAGTGGTACTCGGAAATCTTACTCAGGAGAGTTAGTGCTGGCAGTATCTGTTTTTCCATGAATCAGAAAGCCTTTGTTAGTTTAACTGCAGAAGGCGCAATCCCATTCAACGCTGAAGAATACTCTGACATTAATGAGCTTCGTGCTCTAGCTGAACTCATTGGCCCATACGGCATGAAATTATTGAGCGAAACATTAATGTGGCACATTGCTAGTCAAGTCCAAGAACTTAAAAAGTTGGTGGTACAAAACAAAGAGGTTCTTCAAATGCTCCGAACAAACTTTGATAAACCGGAAATAATGAGAGAACAGTTCAAACGGCTGCAACACGTTGATAATGTTTTGCAGAGAATGACAATAATCGGCGTCATTTTGAGCTTCAGGCAAATTGCACAAGAATCTCTTTTGGATGTTTTGGAACGCCGCATACCATTCTTAATTAGTTCAATAAAAGATTTCCAACAACAATTGCCAAGTGGTGACCCAATGCGTGTCATATCAGAAATGTGTTCGGCGGCTGGATTGCCTTGCAAGGTAGATCCTACGCTAGCATCAGCTCTCCGGCAAAACAAGACGGACGTTGAAGAAGAAGAACATCTTATTGTATGTCTATTGATGGTATTCGTTGCCGTGTCTTTGCCGAGACTTGCTCGTAGTGAAGGGTCTTTCTACAGGCCATCGCTAGAAGGGCATGCTAACAATATACATTGCATGGCGCCAGCAATCAATCATATCTTTGGTGCTCTGTTTACAATCTGTGGTCAGGGAGATATAGAAGACCGTATGAAGGAGTTCTTAGCGCTGGCGTCTTCGTCACTGCTGCGACTCGGTCAAGAGACTGACAAGGAAGCTATTAAGAACCGAGAGTCTGTTTACCTTCTCCTCGACCTGATTGTTCAAGAGTCTCCATTCCTTACCATGGACCTATTAGAATCTTGTTTCCCATATGTTCTAATACGTAATGCTTATCATGAAGTATACAAACAAGAACAAATGGCGTTGCATTTATAAATTATTAAGTAACTGACGAAAGATGATGCTTTGGTATATGAGTTGTTTGTTTTAAAAATCACTTAAGACAAATTTCAATAACACGAGTATTATAAGAGATAAATATAATATTTAACATTCACCATACATATTCGAAAGTTTAAAATTATCCGAAAAAATGGCTTTAATGAGACTGGCTTACTATTCCTTTCTTTATCTAAATAGATTTATTCTATTTACTTTAAGCCTTTTTTAATTTAATGATTTGTTATAATTAGACAGTATAGAAGTAAGGTCAGTGTTCTAGTAACAAAATATTACTTACAATCAATTTAATATTACGTATTGTGTAAGCATAACCCACAGAGGCAACAATAAATATAATTAATTTGAAAATGAATTCCGTAGCTGTACAACTCACAAAAATAACTTAGATGATATGTTTAGGTAATTAGTTATATAATTGCCTCGATGCTTTTAAATGTTTTATTAGTTGATAAGATATTCCAAATTTTTATTATAGTTAATGTACTTTTTAGTATCATTTAGACACCGCCTATACAGTCTGTACTTGTAATGGTTATATGCGACACTTTCGCACTCATATGTATGTTGTTCCAATATAAAAATAGCTTTATAATACAATTTTTACGCAAAATAATTTGGTTAAGAGTCTAAAAAGACAATGTGTTTATAAGCTGTTACAATAGTCGAAATAACGATTAGCTACCTCTAGAAAACAATAATACTGAATCTTACATTCTCCATATAAATTACCCACTATGAATCAATGGAAAATCCGTCAGATAATATCTCTGTATGAATGAATCTGTAGCTAAATTATCACCACAATGAAAATGTATTTATTAATAGTCTCGTGTGAATTTGTGCCTACTGCGTACATAGTTCAAAGTATGATTAATTTTGCGATTATTTTAAAATGTATGGATTTAACTCTCCTTGAACTCTTTGTATACTTCTGTTTATGGTCTAGCTTGTAATTATGATACTTTTGTACCTTGTATATACAGATATATCCTTTATTAAACTATTAAATAATATATTATATTGATTTTTACTTTTCCCTCTTTCCAAAGACAACCTATTTATACTACAAAGTGTTTACCAACTGAAATAATTCTTTTATAAACTAAGTTTAATAAACCGACTTCAACCCTTTTTTGAAGTTGGTTAATTAATATACTAAATATTCCTAAGTGTAACAAACGTTTTTCTGAAAACCGCATTAAAATCGGTTCAGCCGAGCGCTAGATAATCGCGCACAAACATACATACGTACAGGTCAAACTGAAAACTTTTATTTGTAGTCTGTTAAAATTCCAGCAAGATAAAAATATCTACGAAATTTATCCTTAAACCACGTACTCACCGCACTTAGGGCCTGTGTCACAATATCTGGATAGCCGTTATCAACTAGATAAATTTGAATTAAGAACGTAATTTGTATGAACTATCTGGTACTTATATGAAGGTAGTGAAACCGGCGCTTAATATTATAAATGTGAAAGTTTGTTTGGATGTTTGTGCGTCAAGGTATACAAGCAGGCATAACCTGCCTGATAGGTGATAGGATAATTTTCCGATAAAATGCTCCCATGGGATAAAACAGGAATCATATTCTACGCGGATGTAGTCGCGGGCAACAGCTAGCCTATAATATAAAAATGACTCTTGAGCCTGTAATGTGCAAGTCTCGAGAACAGCTTTGGCTACAAACCCAATTTAGTGTAGTTATTCGAGAGCTAAACGTACAATTTGGAGATCCATTAGAATACCTATTTTCATACACTATTTACACAATGTTAATAATAGTTAATAAATAGTCAGGTTGACGTAATAAAAGCCCAGAGTTCATGTAAAATTTATTGTATTTTTTTTATTATTTTGAAATCACATGTTGTAACATTCATCTTGTTAATTAAAAATATTCACATTGTCATTTAAATAATCTATACGGTAATCTAGCTTATACTTAGGAGAAATAATGCCATTGAGTACTACTTAGTGGCGGATGTAGCGGGTCATCCGCCTGTTACACGATTGGTCAAGTCATTCTACAACAGAACATTATCCTCAGTTTACATACATACAAATATACAGTATTATAGTACAATTACAAGAACTTGTGTATTGTTTTGACATTCACTAATAAAATGGCATTAATATGGTATACTTTAAGACCGATTCTTAATATTACAATGTATAGAAATAATAAAAAATACATCATGCTCTTTGGCTTGCACGACGGAAAGTAATACTACGTAATAATGATTGTAAACATAATCTCATAATCTATGAAAGAGATCAATTGAACTGTACGATAAACCATTCTGGAAGGGAGCGGAGTGTGATATGCAAGTTTGTTACACCAGACTGGTTCCACTAGTCACTCACTAGGGCACTCGGAGCACTAGCGAGGCAGTGACCGACACCCAGCCACCCACGCACTACTCTTACACTCACAAATAATACAAGGAATGAGTTACAAAACGTTTAAACGTCATCGTAGCAACATGAAAGTTTCAGTCTAATAACATTTTGATCATTTGGCAATATTGTTAAATTTCATATTACATTCTACTTAAAATAGGATAAATAAAATAAAAGAATACAAAAGTAGGGACATTAATCGCCATAGGAAGACTAAATGCATTTTTTGAAAATATGTAGGTATTTGAGCCCATTAATAATAAATTACGAAATATACTTATGATAAATGTATTATCACGATGTAGTGAGAAATGAAGAACTAACGATAAAGGAACAGGAATACAAATCGGTATAATGGCACCTCGACATTCCACTTACGATACATTAAATACGTTAAAAATAACTTTATATAAAAATTACAATTACGGAGATTCGAGTAAAACAATGCGGATACTTTACAATTACCTCTAGTCGGTATGAACGTTCCGGTCTATAGTCGTATGATATTATTACATCGTAGCCTTTGTATACCTCTCCATTTATATACAAAAATATACATAAATGTCCGGTTCCGGGAGCAACACTCTACTGAACAGTTACAAGTATCACTGGTTCACACGAACTTCGCGCCGGCCCTAAGAGTCCCTGGTACTTCTGTATAAAAATAATAATTTGATAGATCACCGCGTCGCTCGCGTGCATTTTCTACTTTGAGCTCAGAGAGAGCGGATCGGTCGCAGAGATCCGTGTTGAGCAAACATAGGGCGCGGCTACTCGGCGCATCGCGTCACCGGCAGCGCGGCCGGCGACCGAGCCGTAGTCGCGGCGCGGGGCTACTCGGCGCAGCGCGTCACCGTCAGCGCGTCCGGCGACTGCAGCGTGATGGCAGTCTGCGAGGCGACCGTACGGCGCCGCCACGCGTAGCCCAGCAGCAGCGGCACGCCCGGCGCCAGCGCCACCAGCTCCAGCGCCCCGCCGCCCGCCTCCGCGCAGTACGAGTACTGTCAGACCTTCTGCGGGGGCCGCATCTCGTACGACTGCGGATACGCGTTCGCGTAAGGTTCTGCACGTCGCCCGCTGGGACCCGCCGGCGCCGATGCTGCCGCTATAAAGGGTAATAGATACACGATTAGTCAATTGTTAAATGGTAAATAACTATTTGATTAATTAAAATAACAAAATAGTATGGTATACGTACGTCGGTCCCTGTGTGCGTACGTGAGCGGGGGTGCGTACCCCTTGTGTCCCCTGGGGCGGCGGTGCCCGGCGCGGGGCGGCGCTCGCGCCGGGGAGCGCGCCGCCGCGCCGCCCGGGTGACGCATGCGACGTAACGTGTTCATTGGACGACGCAACGTCTCGGATAACCGCCTGTAATAAAAAATACAGTAAGTTAGGTACTTATCACTAAAATTCTTCAATGGCCAATCCAACGACGTTCGAAGTGAACAGACGTGCTTAGTTGAAATATTGAAAACATGCAATAATAGTGACCTACTTTATTATTTTTCTTATTGTTATACCAAGTTTTTAAATAATGGAAACACAAACTTAATTGTTTTTGAAAATGGATAAAACCCCGAGTAATCTGGCTTCCTGTGCCTCACCATTAAAGAGCAGCCGTAATTCTGACTTCTCGATTGAAGCTGTGTCGACGCCCGATATTCAAAATTGGATGTCAAACATTGAAGACCAGTTACATGAAGTGTGTACTATTGCCACAGAGGGCAAACTTAATTCGGACCAAAAACTTAAGATATCAAATCTGAGCCGAAAAATTGGTGCTAATGTCTCGCAAATGGCTGTCCTATATCAAGCTCTAAAGCAGCAAGCTCGTATTGCCGTCAACATTATAGATGAGATGAGAGAAAAACAGGACCTTGTGGAACAAATTTCGGACATCAAACAGACAATCAAGGACTCGACATCAACAGGTAACGTTTCATTTGCTGATATGGTAAAGAAGGGGACTGACTTCGTGCGACCTAAGAATCTGACCTCTACTGCTATTTACCCACAAAATAAATCAAAAACTAGCGATGAAACAAAATGTCTAGTGCAAAAAATCATACGCCCTGACCAATTGCAGCTGCATGTGCGTGGTGTGCGTAAAATTCATAACGGAGGCGTTATAATTAGCACGGAGTCTAAAGAAGATGCAAAGAAAATTAAAGAAGCACTAGCTCTATCGTTATCTGGACTTATTGCCGATGAAGCCAAGAAAAGAAATCCGAGAATCACAGTCGTAGGAGTGCCTTCTGCTTTATCTGATGCTGATGTGCTCAGGTGCATATACGAGCAAAACATAGCTGGCAAGTTCCCAGAGTTTACCATGGAGTCCTTTTTATCAACTTTAAAGCTAAGTCATAAATCTGGCAAGAAGGACGCGCCGACTTGTAATTACATCATAGAAGTTCCGGCCAAAATTCGAAAAGCCCTTATATCGCAAGAGAGACTCTATATAAACTGGACGTCTTGCCCTGTCAGAGACTTTACGTTAGTAACGCGTTGCTATAAATGTCAGCTGTATGGCCACGCGGCAAAGACATGCCGGGAGCTCAACTCAGTATGTGGCCATTGTGGAGAAGTAGGACACATTACATCCGCTTGCACGAAGAAAATAGATTTCCCTAAATGTTCAACATGCTCTCGCTTTAATAAGCCCAACACTCACAGGACAGGAGACGCAGAGTGCCCAGCCAGAAAGGTAGCCGAGCAAAGATATATTAATTCCATCGACTATGAATGCACTTAAAGTGATATACTCTAAGTCAGATTTGATTAGTCATTTCTTGTACAACATTTGCATATTAACAGGTTGGCTTACTCATCAATTTATTGCTGTGCAAGCACAATTGATCGAACTGTGACAATAAGTGAGTGACCGTATGGACTCTGACCTAGTTTTTTTGTGTTTCTGCAGCAGCTTCAAAATACTCGACAGCATAGCGTGTAATTTTATCTAGTTTTCAATATAGCTTACGTGGTTTATTTAAGTCTATATGATATTGATATTGATTATTAATAAATAACTTATGTAGGTACAACTTTTTATTCCCCTTCAGGGAATAATAAAAGGTGTGATGTTATATGGGTATGTGTGTATGTATATATATATAATAGATAGTATATTTATAACCAATCCTACCTTACTACTGAAAATTGTGTTAAATATTTTGCTTAAACTATACATAACTTGTCTTATCATTAACATAATTTTAGAGCTCCTGTCGCCTGTGACACAGGAATATTCCTAGTATAGGCATATTAGTTTTTAAGATCTTGTCGCTTAACTAAGATATTTTGTACCATTGTTGGCCATTGTTATTACGAATAAAGATTTATTATTATTATTATAATCGATATAAATTACCGAGAGATAAACGACTCCATAAAATGAAAGTTACCTAGCCGGCGGCCGCTTAGGGTTGGAGGAGGGCGTGTGTACAGCGCAGCACTTGACGAAGGCGCCCATGCAGACGATGAGGCCGACGCCGGCCAGCAGCACGGCCCACCACTGCTCCGTCACCCACGCCTGCACCGACTGCAGCGTGGCGCGGTTCAGCAGGAGGTTCTTCAACCGGGCCAGGGGACCTTCCGCGTCCACCGCACGGCATTTCAAGAATACGTCACAGTAACCCTGCACACGAAATTAATGTTCAATAAATATTTGAAGTAAAATCTCATACTTTGCGTGACTAATGACTCTAGTTAAGCTCAAAATTAACCGAGCTCTCACTGATAATGATGTAGATGAGGACCATGAACATTGTCATAATATAAAGTCTCAGTTTCATAATTACACAAAAAAAAAAACAGACGGTTAGTTATGCGTTTCTCAATTCATTAATAAATACTAAATAGGTTCTTGTTAACTTCATAATATTGTACAAATATAATTTTACCTGGAAGTTATCACAAGGCGAGCCCGGTCGTAGACTGATACCACCTTTGGGTAAGCCCACACGGTCTGCGAAGTCTGCAGTGCTCTGGCACTGGTCCGGGCGGGGCCCAACCTGGCAGGCCAGCTGGCACAGCGCGCGGCGGTCCACGACGGCGGCCGACACGCCGTCGCCCACGGCGCGCGGCGCGGACGACAGGAAGCACTCCGTCATGTTCCACGCGAGGCAGATCGAGCCGCGGCACTCGCCGCTCAGGCACAGCTGGGTCCCTGCACACGTCGCGCTTGCTTATTTACTGGGCTCATACAAACTGAGATCATGATAAAATCTGATTTTGTATCGCTCGATATGTAGCCATATTCTGAAATATTAACTACTAGCTTTTTACCCGCGGCTTCGCTCGCGTCACAAAAGGTTAAAAAGTAGCCTATGTGACATATACCAAAATAACACAGCGCCATCTATACCAATACTTTTATTTTCCCTCGGGAATATCAAATTTTTCCGGGATAAAAAGTACTCTATTATTTAATCCAAACTTCTAACTTTACGTCCGCAAAAATTCAAAGCAATCGGTTTAGTAGTTACGGCGTGAAAGTAGAACAAACAAACAAACTCACTTTCCAATTTATAATATTAGTAAGGAAGGATTGAAGAACTAAAATTCTTCTATGATACAATAGGATGCTTTTAGGTGCCGATTCAAGGTTAAAATTCTTTTAAGATGCTTTTCCAATGCTTCTCAAATATCATCTTAGATACGACTTCAGAGAAAATGAAGAGAGTGTGTTTTATGTGAATACTGACCATTATTGCACATGGTATGGTTGGGCATGGCGCGTGGCTCGGGGCAGTCGGCGGAGTTCCCGGAACAGAATGACGCGTGGCTACACTCTGACGCCTCGCGACACGTCACGTTGCGGGACGCTGGGACGAACTCACACGTCGCCGCGTTACAGCATGGACCTTGCGATGGACTGTGGCCACAAAAGAATTTATTAATACACATCATAGAGCCCATAACTGCTGAGCAATGACCTCTTATCACACGGAGGTTTGAGCACTAAACAACTGCTCAAGATTGATTGGAGACTTCAGACATCATAAGACAGAAAGTATCGTACCTGCACTGCGTGTGAGCTCTCCTAGCGCAGCCTTTAGCAGAAGAGTTCTTGGCGTCCATTGCACTGAGCTGGCGCGGGTAACAACACCGGTCCTTGCATTCATTTTCGTCATAACCTGAGTATGTAATATCAGTTGTTAAGTTTGCTCATTTGAAAACTTTCAGATCATTCAGTTGAATTGTTACTCTAGAAGGGATGGTAGCGAGGTTTTAATTTAATCATATAGAAAATAAAATAGTGAAAGACTTCCTCCAAATTCCACCCGGTCGATGTAACGCGCTGGATTGGAACCAGTCTCTGATCATCCGCTTCAAATTTTACCCTGAAGCTGACCACGAGCCTCAGACACGATTAAAAAGAGATAATCTTCGAAGAAATAGGTACAAGAACGTACCGCAGTCGCACTCCTCGTTGTCCTCGACGATCTTGTTCCCGCAGAAGGCGCCGGCGCTGGCCGTGAGACAGTTCCGCTTGCGGCCGTCGCGCACGGCGTCGAGCACGGCGCTGATGTTGCCGACGCTGCACGTGGAGAAGCGGCTGTTGTTGGGCCGGTCGCCGCTCGTGGCCGACGCGAACATTATGTAGTTGCCTTGCTGCCCGCCCGGCCGGCAGTCCGTCGGGTAGTCGTGCTGCGACACAATATGCTTCGTTAAAACTACCACTTTATAACCATGTCATGTCCGTGTGAAAACAATCCAGTAAACTGGACTGAAAACTGTACAGGACAATTTTATATCTCGTTTTTAAAAGCAGTATCAAAATACAATACCTGCGCAAAACTTGTACGAGTTTGCGCAATACCTCATTTTAACGCATCGCAATAAAATACTTCCAAATTAAGATGGCAACTGTTTATTACATAATTTTGAACATAACATCACGCCTTTTATCCCCGAAAGGGTAGGCAGAGGTGCACATTACGGCATTTAATACCACTGTAATGTAACACCCACTTTTCACTATTTATGTTATGAGTCCCATGTAATAGGGGGTGAGCCTATTGCCATATACCGGGCACAGTTCCAAGTACGTAATTTTGAATTATTTCTTAAAATACAACGACTAGGTTTTGATAGAATATCGAAGAACAAAGAACAGCTATTTTTACTTACCGGTGACCCAAAGTTATGTCCGATCTCGTGTGCTAAGGTAAGCTGGCTGACTTTGGGCGGAACTCGACTGTTGTAGTTGACGAAGGTGATGATGCCGGTGTTAAGCGACCGCTTGGTACTTTGGTACATGCCGCCGATGGTCTCTGTGTATGTCTTGTACTTCTCGCATATACCTCCTGATGCACCGCTTGCACTCGCTACCCATGCAAGACCTGGAGGGGAAAGAGGAACCACATATTGTAAATCTATTTTAAAAGTTTTCAGGACAAAATTAAGTCCTAAGATAGAAGCATTTGCTTGAAATAGGTCAAATAAAGGGTATTAAGAAATTAACTGATTTTTTTTAATGTGCTGACATAATTAAGTGTATCATCTTTGACATGACTGCACGGTTGGTGCGTTGGCTGGGCAACCGGCTGCCATGCTATGTTTCGCGGGTTCGAATCCCGCACGGAACAACACTTTGTTGTTTCGGGTCTGGGGGTCATGTGTATGTGAACTTGTATGTTTGTAAACGCACCCACGACACAGGAGATAAGCCTAGAGTGGGGCAACGTTTTTTTTTATCTTTATTTGTATAAAGATGATACACTTAATTATGTGTGTGATTGTTACCTAGTGTTCCTCCAGTGAAGTCTCTGTAGGTGAACACGTAAGCAAGACAGAAGTCCTCGTGGTTGCCCAGCGAGTGCAAGTTCAGGAAGTTGGAGACGTCGATGTTCTCAAGGCAGAACTGGTTCGTTTCGCTGCCGAACTCATGACCCTTACACATAGAGTCGTCGTCGATCTGTGGAACAAATTACATTATTACTATATACGTTCTGCAAGCGGGATCGCTCGCGATCTTGGGATAAAAATTATCCCATGTATGTGACTTTATAATCTATCTCTTTATTAAACATACACAGTTCAGTAGTAAGTTGCTACCGTCTACTGTTGTCAAAGGATAACCATTATATTTCAACGCAACACGTATCAAAATCTATGGAAAATATATGTGTTTTGTGAGACGAATCACACAATGCAAATATGTATCATGAAATCTGATTAGCTATTCTCGAGTTTTATATCGTGTAACTGATTCAATTCCCCCGCTTTCATACGTGGGTACTAATCACTGTCACGTGGCTCACCATGTCACATAGGAGAGCCCTGTATTGGTACAAATGGGCCGGCTTAACCGGAGTGATACCACGGCCTAGCAGAAAATCGGCGTGAATCAATGCTAGCGTGCTGTTTCGCCGTGTGACTGAAGTTGTCGGTGGCTTAATCCACCGTCCCCAAGGTCGACAACGTACAAAATACAGAACAAGCCCGATAAGGCAAATAACCAACATACACCTTTTAATTAATACATGATTAAATAAGATTATTAATATTCCTTGTGTAGCATTAATTACAATCGACAGAATGAGACATCATTAGCATTGACTGCACGGTTGGCGCGGTGGCTGAACAACTAGCTGCTGCGTAACGTGTCGTGGGTTAGATTCCCGCACGGAATAACTCTTTGTGTGATCCATAGATTGTTGTTCCGGGTCTGGGTGTTATGTGTATGTGATCTTGTATGTTTTGCCCACGACACCACCTAGTGTAGGGCAACGATTTAAAAAAAAAAAAAAAATTGTGGCGATCACGATAGATTTAGGGTTCGATAAACTAGTCACCATCATTATTACATCAGCCACTACTACTGCTATCTTGAACATAGGCCAAGTCGCTTATAAAAAAATCAACTTCAAAGTCGTTTCCAACCGGCTGATCTGAGAAGTCATTAGAGCAGGCCTGTGTTTAGCTGTGACCATCATGTAGCTTTTTTTTAACAATCATAACGGCAGAAAACCCCTTTACCCAAACCCAATATGATGATGGTCATAATACTATATACTTACTTAGTATATACGTTATATAGCTGTTGGTTACCCGAATTAAAATAAATAAATACCTAGTGTATGGATAATTTATCCGTCGTAAAGTAGGTGCCCTCTAAGTAGGTTAATTAAGTTAAGGGAGTAATTATAGCTTATTTTTATGTTATCTAAAAGGATAATAACCGCATATTTTGTTTTCATGCAAGGGTTAATGAATTTCCTCTTTAACGTTGTTATTGTGCAGTAACTGGGTTTTTATCAAGCCGCGTTTCTAATAATTATTGCTTTAGTCGAACGTTATATTTATTTTTGTTATTTTTATGCATAAATTGATAAGCTCAATTATATGTTGTACGGGAAAATCCTGTGTACCTAGAGGAAAATTGTATCCTGATATTATCATTTACAGCATTCAAAAAGGAGGTGGTACAGCGACCACTCCGATAGGAAACCGATACTTAAAACTGTTCGAATGGTGGTGGTTCAGAAGTGGTATAACTGTCTCTAAGTCCTATGATAGACTCACAAGGAAATCAAGGAGAACTTTCCAAAATTGTAGGGGGACTTGTGCGTTTGTTAATTCATTATTTTATTAAGTACTAGCTGAACCGGCAAACTTTTTCTCGCCTTTTAAAGAAAAAGTTTCTCTGAATCTCCACGAACATTTCAAGACCAAAACTAAAGCCAAATTGGTTTAGCCGTTCTCGAGTTTTACCGAGACTAACGATTTGAAATTCATTTTTATTTATACAGATTTTAAAGCATTACAATTTTATTTATGAACATGGAGCCAAAAGACAACCGAGGGAACTCCTGAAGAAATTACAGCTGTTACCTTGTGTTGTGGCTTGAATTATTTGTATTGATAAGAACACAAGCCACATAACAGTACCCGAATATTGGCATATACATATCAAAAACAACACGATAACATTAGTTACGGTTTTCTGTTTCAAATCAAATTTCTCGCTTGATTAATCATATGAGTCATAATGGTCACACTTTGGCCCACGTTTTACTAAAAGCCGATACTAAATAGCTTATATAAAGCTGATTATATATAGTTAAATACATGATCCACACTTCATTGAACATTGGGCCTGTTATATACTTACATAAATGTCTCCTTTTGAGATAAAACTTAACGGCTGACTAAAATTGACCTTTTCCCTTCGCTGGGAAGCATTCGGCCTTAAAATCCTATTTTAGATCAGAGCTAACGTATTGATGTTTGACTTTCGGATTTGGTAACTCTATTGTGTAGACAAAATGCTGATTGCTTGCGTAGTTAACATACGGTTGGTGTTTAGTTATGATACTTATGCTCGTGTTCATCGATCATACTTAACTAAAAGTTACTTAGCGTGACGTAGGACTTAAACTAACCCCTTACTTGTACTGTTAGGTGACACTTATGGATTGGTGAAAACCAAAAATAACGTTAAATATCACGTAGCTTAGTGTTTCTTTATCTAGGAGAGGATGGTGAAAACGGGCATTTAATTATTTTTGATAAAGTGCAACCTTATTCGATTCAAACACATTTTTATATGGGAAGTTTGTCAAAATTATCCGTAACTTAGACTAACGGAAACTTAGCCAGACATTGTTATCAGTCAGACGTTATACATACAATCTATAGTTAATTAAACTACGTATCTAACTAACAAAGAATATAGACATGTTGCACCCAGTTATGTGAAGGAAAAAAACACCGAAAACCATTCATATGGTTTTTCCACAACTTTGATGTTGATATTTGATATCATTGGTGACTGTTGATATATGATCGAGTGCGGTCTAGATACAGGAAGCAAGGCAGAGCGTGGCGTGACCTAACCACATCCGAATTAGGAACAATGTGGTTATCACGTAGCAGTGTGTATGTATGTGTATCATTCATCACTATGATTTAAGTATTCATTATTTTTTATTGGCGTCTTATTGTTGCGAATTGTGAAATGAAGGTGCGGTGCCTGGCCCTACAGAGACTATTTATAACATAACATAACATCACGCCTTTTTATCCCCGAAGGGGTAGGCAGAGGTGTACATTATGGCACTGTACAATGTAACACCCACTTTTCACTATTTATGTTATGAGTCCCATGTAATAGGGGGTGAGCCTATTGCCATATACCGGGCACAATTCCAGTCTCCGTGCTACTACTGAGAATTTTTTAATAACCCAGTAATAGGTACTTTTGCCCGACCCGGGAATCGAACCCGAGACCTCTTGCCCGGCAGTCGCACTTGCGACCACTCGGCCAACGAGGCAGTCTATTTATGTAGATCTGTGTAACAACAACAACATCAACTGCTACAGGCAGTTGATGTTGACAGTTGACTTATCACACAGAGAAGGTTTAAGCATTATTCACCACGCATTATAATTAGAAATTATAAGCCGAGGTTTCCTCATGATGTTTTCCTTCACCGTTTGTCAGTGGTGTCTAAATAATCTTAGAAAGTACATATAACTTGGTAAAAGTCACATTGGTACTTGCCGTAGGAAGGTTTCGAACACGCACCCTCATGCATGAGAAGCAGGCGCAGGCTTAACCTTACACCTTAACCAGTGATAATTTAGAAGCGAAGACTTAATAAACGTAATATTTCTTGTTCGATAAATGCCTTTGCAACTCGTTAGGTTCTTATCCGATTCTTTAATTACTTAGCATGTATTGTTCACTACTGCAAATTGCTAGCGTAGGTACGGTGTGTAATTCTAATAAGATTTTTATAATGAATCTTTCCTGCGCACGTCATTATATTTATTTGATGAGTAATATTAATAACAGAAATTTAATCAAGTTTTTTCTTGATAACATCCATTTTATCCACCTCTAAGTTAAGAGTTACTTATAGTTTTATTTGCTGAAGATACATTATATTTCCTTTATGGCGTGGCTTAATATCTTATTCCTTGTCTGACTCAATGCGTTGGCTCACTCGGGACTTTTTTCAAACATAATCTCGCACTAGGGTTATCTTTACTATGGTGTGTGTGTGTCTAATAACTCAAATTTCACGAACGCATCACAATTAAGCTGGGAAAAACATACTTATACTTCTATTAAGCCAATTTAACCCTTTTTTTTTTTTAAGGGGGGAAAATCATCGAATGACTGCTCCCGCCTGGGTGAGGCGGAAGGGAGTGTCAGACTCTTACTGACTAAAAACCACCCCGTTCCTTCTCCTGCACGTCGAGCCGGAGCCCCGGTTACCCGTTAGGTTCTCCGCGACTCCGAATCGGCATCGGCCCTATTTTTTTTTTTTTTTTTTAAGGGGGGAAAATCATCGAATGACTGCTCCCGCCTGGGTGAGGCGGAAGGGAGTGTCAGACTCTTACTGACTAAAAACCACCCCGTTCCTTCTCCTGCACGTCGAGCCGGAGCCCCGGTTACCCGTTAGGTTCTCCGCGACTCCGAATCGGCATCGGCCCTATTGGGCCCCATCTGTGGTGGTCTGATGGCTCTTTGAGGCGCGCGCGGAACGCGACGCGCCGTACGCTCGGGTCTGTTTCTGGTCGGACGGGGAGCCACCCATGCTCGCCGTCCGCAGGCCCGCGCTTACGGTGGCCGGAGATCGTCCCGCGATCCCCGACGCCCGGTGTGTCCTTCGCGATGGCTGGGTCGCGAGGAGGCAGCGCTTCGCTGCCTCACGCGTCCCGCCTCCTCCTTAGCTAGCATGACTGCTTCGCAAAAGGAGGAGACGGCATCCCAGTCCCCCTCGCTCCGCATCATGGCCTGCACTAGGCCCGGACGCGAGAGGTCGCCATCGCCGATCACTTCCCTGAGGGCACGGCGGTGCTCAGCCCACGCAGGGCATTCTCCCACTGTGTGTTCCACCGTGTCCTCAGGGCGGTCCTCGCAGTGATGACACCCGGGCGTTTCCTCCCGCCCCATCAGACACAGGTACCTCCCGAAACTTCCATGTCCGGTGAGGACCTGCGTCAGGCGGTAGGTGAGGACGCCGTAGCGTCTCTCAAGCCACTCCTCAAAGAGGGGACTTACCGCTGCAATGGCAGCGAGCCCAAATTTAACCCTTAATACTTAGATGTTTACAAACCTTTATTCTCTGTACTTCAAACTTGATATTCCTATGTTCGAATCGTCCGTCGAACTTGGTATGGCTGTAGATGTAGTTGACGGCGGTCACGTGGTGCGATATGAGGGACAGAATCTCCTCACGAGTCTTCATGTCCACCTCGTTCTTTTTGCTGGGGTCTCGATGCTGGAAAGGCATAGAATTTGTTACTATTTAATCTCGTCATCATAAGCTGGAATACATCATATCAACAGCCTATTAGTGTTCACGGCTGAACAAAGGCCTCTTCACACACGAAGAAGGATTATAAAGCACTACGCTTGCTCAATGCGAGTTGTCATCCGATGGAACGCAGCTAAAAGGTCTGTTAAAACCCACAGACTCTTTTTTTGAGGTAAAATCATCTAATGACTTCTCCCGCCTTGGGTTAGGCGAGAATGAGTGCAAGAGTTTTACCGACTATAATATAAACCATCCCGTTCCTACTCCTGCTCCCTCTACGAGCCCCGGCAACCCGTTGGGCCTTCCGCAGAAAACCCGCAAACTTAAAGGCGCAAGTTCTGGTATTGAGATATGAGCAACGGTTTCGTCTTATAAATATGTACATACATATCTACATAATTATTATGTGAGTATTTCATGAATTTTAATATACTTATGTAAGAAAAACAAACGAGGCTCTGTATCAAAGGTTGCATTTTGTAAGTCAAGAGCGCGATTATTAGCAAGGCATGCAAATAAATTTTTATTAGTGTACAAGATATTGGGGTCAATAAGGCCACGGTCTCATATTCAGTGTTAGCTTACTATTTTTATTTAATATTTGTATCATAAACTAGACGACTAGACTTATCCAATCTTTTTTGAAGTTAGTTTTTTATCAAGTGTAATAAATTGATACACAATTTGAAACATCTTCACGTTCTTTGAAGTAAAATCATTAAAAATTATTGAAATCTTTTATAATTTTGGCTTATTTATTACTTTCTTTTAGTGGAATAATAGATTGAACATACCTTATTTAACTTTATAAGAAAAACGGATCGACTAAATTCTAAAATCTTTGTACTATTATCTATGTAAATATTTTTTACATAGTGTCCTGGCTACTATTAAATACAAGAATTAACAATGATAACTTAAATATAAAAAATATATTATATAAAAAAAAATCAAGACAACATGAATATAATAAATACATAATATGAAAATGTACAGCAGCGAAAACCGGACGGAAAACTAATGATGACTTGCGTCCGGGAATCTATCCCTAACGTGTCGTCATATCATTACTAACTGTGCTATAGCAAGGCAGTCAGCCAGCGAACTTGTTTCATGATCAACAGGAACACGACTACTAATGTGCGTTTTAATACCATACTTTACTACATACTAGCTTCCAACCGCAACTTTGAATATGCCCAATATCCTTTTTTAAGGGATAGGCCGGTAAGCGAGCAGACGGACCACCGGTAAGCAATCGGAGACGCCCATGGACACCCGCAACACCAGAGGTCTTCCAATTGCATTACCACCGGCCTTTTTGGGATTAGGAAATTGAGGATTGTTGGGGATTCAGGGATCGGGGAGATTGGGGAGAGGTAATTGGGCCTCCTCCTAAGTGTGGGACAGCCATTCTTCGACACTTAGCACATTCGTGCCGAAGAATGGCTCGCCCCGAGTGATATCAGGGCACGGCCTCACAAAACCGAAACGTGAAATAACGCTGGCGTTGTGTTTCACCATGTGAGTGAACTTAATTCCCCCATTTCCAAATCTTAATCTTGTTGCCGGTGTACATGGGTGTTGCCGTTTGCTTAATATCTGGGGCCTGCTCGTTTGCGGGCCTATGCCATAAAATGTAGTCAATTATATACTTACATCTGGAAACCCCTCCCTGACGTGTCTCCATATGAGGGGGTCTGTCTGTATGTAGAGGGAACACGTGTTTCCCTTCTCGTCGGGTGCTGCCCGCCGCGACCGCGTGTGCTCGCCCGTGTTCGCCGCTCGCGAGTACTTGTTGTAATGGTGCATGTCCCAGAACCTGAAAAAAATACACCATCTTTTAAACCTGTATTTGGTAATTATTTAAAGTTAGCTAACCACTAAATCAATCGACAAGAGAATGCCTGAGGGCTTAAGACATTAACACTTTGACTGCCGATAAACTCTTCCGCTAACGCCGGTCACCGGTGACCCTCCATGGCGTTCAACGTGTTAAATACACCCATGTGGTGTCTCTGTCAAATATGTAAACCCTCAGTCAGCTCTTTCTGACTACACCCGCGGAAGGAGTCGACGTGAAGACTAAAATCTATTCTATTCTAACTTCACGTCACAAATATCAAAGGCTTTAAAAAAGAAGTTCAGATACGCGATCTTAGTCGTGATAGTTACATACATACAACCCTAAATCTATTTTAAGCTACAATTTTAAACAATAACCTATCAACCTATTGACCGTTCTAAAACCGGAAACAAGATTAATAGCTTCTATTTGAAAATAAACCACTTCACTTAAGAACATGCCCAAGTTCGGTCGTGTACCACTTAATTGGGCGTGGCTAAACTACTTTTTTTTTGTTTTTGTTCCAAAGCCCACGTGTGGCATGTGTCTACCCATGTGGATAATAAAAAAGGTTTTAAACTTTTTGCTGCAAATGTGTCAACGGAACGCCTGTCTACATTTATTTTGTTTTTCGTTTTGTAAACAAGCGTTTAAGGTACAGTACGTTTTTATTGTAGACATATTTTAGTCGTTTATTAATATAAATAAGGTCGTTTATTACTTTAAAATTTATTCAGAAATGAGAAGGGAGTAAAAAGAAGTTTTGCATAGGTCGATTCGCTTTTTAGATGTTACTAACTACTTACTGCTGCAGTAAAAAGTGATAGTAACTTTTTATAATTAATTATAATGAGAAAGGAGTGCTCATTTATTTAGTCTATGATTAATCGACTTATAAGATAACGTGTACTGTCATACTGAAGAGAATATTAATGTATGATTTATCGTCCAAGTAGAAACAGACTATTATTTTAGTTCAATAGGTAGAGCATATTAAAAGCTATTAGAATAATTTTTTGTTCTAAAACTAAAACTTTAAAACTCTGATGAAATAACTTTGATAAAAAGCTTTAACTTGAACGATTTAAAATGAATTTTTCGTCTTGACTTGAAGATGTACTTCCAAAAGCTGCATTTTTGTGCATGTTAAAAGTCAGCAGCTGTAGCCAAACGCCATTTAGCGCTTGTCTACTTGTAGAATAGAAAACCAAATTATATGGAATTGACGTAAATTTTGACACTTGTCAGTGTCATCCCCATACATTTTGATTTCTACTCTCTCTGTAGACAAGCGCTAAATAGTAGAGTTGGAACGGGTGGTTTTTTACGCCTCACCCCTCACCCAGGATGGAGTAATTTGATGACCACCAACAAACATTACGTTACCTGGGCTCATTATCCCTCAAGCTGTTTGGGTGCGGTGGTTGTGAGGCAGGGGCATGGTGTCCATGTGTTGCTGCAGTTGGTGTGGACGCAGGCGCTGGTGACGTCTGCTCATCATCAACACCTGAGTTCTGGATGCGTTCCATCCATTGTACTACTTCGTCTGTGATGCCGCAACCACCCACGTGACCTGATGACAAACATAATTTGGATTACTATCTACTCTCAAATTCGATCAATACTTTGTCCTGACTTCGAAGAACAGAGGGCCACGCAAACCGATTGCAGTTGTAGCCAACGACCACCTGATGGACGAGGCAGTTTCGATTTAAAATGTATAAAAGTTATCAAGTCTTAAAATGGAACACGAAAATAAAACACAATTTTGCTATTTGTATCTACTGTTTAAGGGACGAAAGGTGTAATGCTTTTGGAAATACAACTCTAAAGACTCCTAAACAAGGTTTATGCGACAAACATTCAAATGTTATGGCATAACGGGGTCCGTCCCACGCTCCGTTTTTCGTTTCGTGGTCCCGATACTAGATCTACGATTTATGCATTCAGCATTCAGTCCACATTTATCCACTGTTCCAGTTTACGATATCTTCCTGAGTCGGTCTCGTGTTTGCTAACATTTGCAATATTTACGAGGTACAACGTCACCATCAGTAGGGTATAATTGGGGGTTCTGCATCACTTGCTCTCGCTGCGCTCGAGCTGCGTGATGCAAAACGCCCCAATTCTACTGCTTAGGCAGATCGTAATGTGCATATCGTATTCAATAACAATACAGTCGAATAAGGATTGCGTTCGATTCGCAACTGTTCATTCAGCGGGAATCCGACTTCCTAGTATCGTGATGTATTGTTTTGCATCTGTTGCATTGTAATATGTAAGAGATTGATCGTCTAAATCTAAACTTACGATGTAGCATAGAGAAATACGACCTGTTAAGACATTCATTATACTTGCATTATAACACTTGTGAGCATGTTTATTATCATGCCTTTGTTAAGTATACATAAAACATTGCATCTCAGTTGTATTTGCCGAAGCCCGAAAGGAGTAGACCGCTATGCTTTTGTCCCATGTAATAAAGACTGTATGAAATCCTTTCTTTCCTTTTATAAGTTAACATAAAGAATAAACGTTGTAAGGTTCATACTACTAGGCTAAGACTTGGTACATACAACTTCCTTTTTAGAATTTCATCTCAGGTATCCGCGACGCTGTGGCGCCGTTTTCTAAATTAGGAAAAAAAAAAGATGTGTGCTCGTTATGCATGCTACATATTATCAAATTGAACTCTATGCTTTCAACACATACAGTTTAAATTGTATCATTAGAGTTTTAGAACTTGTTCATATATATGACTGCAATAAATTAAAAAGTATATTTAATTGGCAACAATTACTGTGAGTGTTTGTTTGGGATAATTACATAAAATGTCGGTGAGTATTTTTTTTCTGTTCTTTATTAATAATATTTAATTTTTTATTACGTGTATACTTAGTTTTTTATTTTTTGTTCCAGGACTCTGATGACCTTTTTAATTTTATCCCATACCCGCCAAAGGAACCAAACGCAGGCGAGTCATCTAAACTCAATTTAAAGAGAAAACGTGGGACATCATCAGCTCCACAAAAGCGTCAACGAGTTCAAGTATACTCCTATACTAAAACAAGGGCTCAAAATATATCTGCATCATCAAGGACGATAAAAATTGAAATTTACGAGGCTGATAACCAGCCTATAAAGGCTTGCGAGTGCAGGGCGAACAAGTGCGTACAATATGTAATAAAAGATATTAATTGTGATGATATATACTTCGCTTTAGAAAATATAATTGGAAAAATTCAAGAAAAAATTCAATAAAATTGTATATTTATATTCAGACTTTCATGACTATGTAACATTCTTTTTAGTTAAGTTTAAATTATCTTTGTTTATGTGTATAATCATAATTATTATATTGTTATTATACTATCATTATTATATTAGCTTATAGTGTCCCACTGCAGGACAAAGACCTCCCTTCCCTCCTTCCACTTGTCTCTAATTATATTGTTAAATATTACATAAATAGTATTAAAATTGTAATCATTTTATAATTAAAAAATAAATAAAATTGTGCAATAAATATATTCAATAACAACAGTAGCTAAAATTATGTAGTTAATATACTTACTATACCATACCTATGTATATTAGCTTTAAAAATAAATTAGGATTATGTTGTTACTTTAAACATTTTTAATAAACTTATTTCCCTGGTACTGTGTACACAATTTGGTTTTATTTTTAATCAACTCATCACAATAAAAGAGACCAAGTCGAAAAATTGTTAAAAGGATTAACCACCTTATGACCACGCAATGAGGTCGCATTTTCAGCGTAAACACTCTTGTACTAATGTTGGTTTAATATTAAAAAAGCGTATCAGTTCGTGCATACATAAATGAGGTCTCATATAATTGGTTATAAGAAAGTTTCTTGTTATGACCGCCGTTAATTGAGCTCTTATTCCTTTTACGATTTTCATCTCCAATTGCTTGGTGAAAAGCTATTATGGTTAATATGATGAGCAGACATATTCCATATGTGCATCATTAGGATGCATTCATACCTGATGCTAGTAAAAGAAATTTGTTCAATTTAAAGTATGCTCTAAGTACTACTGTCATAGGGACCAAATATCATAAATATTTTTTTATTGTAATTTTTTTTGCTATAATTTGTTGCAAGGAGTTCGTATATGAACACGTCTTTATTTTTAAGGTTTATAAAAGTATGCACTCGATGAATGTGCTTTACTTTACTTTCTTACACGTAAGTTTGAATACTTAATTTGAGCTGTGTTCGTTAGTGTCACAAGTTTTCCTACGTTTTTTTTTTTCTTTTGTGACGGAATTCTACAACAGTAAAGTATGTAAGTACTTATTTATTATACTTAACTATATTTTCTAAAAGTCCCCATCATAAAATCTTGACTATTTTCCTTTGACCGCCTACAATAATTCAATATTTATTAACACTTTTATCATTACTCATTTGACCAGTGCTCGTAAGTAGATCTACTGAGCGAGAGGTTTTGGTCTCGATTTCCAAATCATGCTAAGACAATTCATAGGTTCAATATATAATTAAATTTTTTTAGGGTTCAGTGAATTCGTGAGAAACAGCTAGTTTCTTTATACATACATGCATCGCTGTAAACAGGTGTGATAATATTATATGAATTACTTTTCAGGGCTCAGATTGACAATCCGTTTTGGTTGCATGAAGAGGATTCGCTCCAACCTTCAACTGCCGCTAATAGCAGTTCTAAGAAGAAAGCTGAACCAGTGAAGCGGGCTAAAAAGTCTCAAAAGAAAAAAGTTCTGCCTGTGAAAAATCCATTTGCTGGGGAATCAGATTCCGACAGCGATACGATAAAGCTTGCCGAGGATACTACTCCACCAGCTATCAAACGAAAGAAAATTGCTGTTTTTCCTGACTCTGAGGTAAGCTTATGCTACACTTTAAACTATGTAGGTACACTTTTTATTCCTTCTGTTTACTTATATCTATCGATAACTCCTGTCTTTCACAGCCTAGGGCAGGGATGGTGAACCTTTATTGACTTGCGTGCCAAGTCAAATAAAAAATCAAATAGTTAACATGAAAAGGTAAAAGATTATGAAGAATAGACTTGTCTTTGATTCGAAAATTTTCATAAACAATTTTAACATTAGCGCTAAGATATCTTAATAAAATTGGCTCTGTTCTGCTCTGCACGAGTACGTGGTTATGGTACATAATTTCAATTGAAAACTTGCAAAATAATGGTGTGCCCAAATTATTAGCTGCGTGCCATTGGTTCGCCATCCCTGGCCTAGGATATATTCCCAACAAAATAAGTTTTATAAGGAAAGTTTTTTTTTATCTTCGAAACGGTACGTGGTGATACAACACACCTTGAATTTAACCTAGATGTTACTAGGTAGATGCTAAATTGAAGTTTTATTGTTTTCCAGGATGAACCGCAACAACCGATTCGAGCGGTGACTTTAAGAAGTGCTTTCTCTCAGCGCATAGCTTCGGGCTACAGCTACCAATCAGACCCGACGAAAACAGGGCAATATTTTTTCGAACTGAGAGTGTACAACACTTGCGAGGCTGAGCGACTGCCACACAACGAGCGCTGGAAGCAAGCTCTCGTAACTTTGAAGCTTGCTACTGACCAGAACACAGGTGTTTGGGCTGCATTAACCGGTCTAGTTAATGCTGGTCGAAAAGAAATGAGGGATATTCGTCCGGTACTGTACCCTAATCCCAATAATTAGGATATTTTTTTTTTTTTACTTTTTGATTCATGTAATCCCCCATCTTAGGTTTATAATAACCATTTAACTTTAGAGGAAATATTTTATTTTATCTTATTATTACGTATGTCCCATAAGTCTTATTATTATTGTTCATTGATATAAAATAAACCTTGCAGGCTTTACAAATAACAATTACCTTTTTGTCCTTCTAATTGCAACAATATGTATTCTCTTACAGACATTTTACACATGTAAAATAAAAATTGATTAACTGCACAAATGAAACAATTAATTGATTAAAAATTACAATTGAGACTTTAAATAAGATTAACTTTGTTTTATTATATATTTAAAATTCTAATTGCATATATTATGTTTATGTGTATTCTCTTACAGACATTATACACAAGAGAAATTAAAAATTGATGAAATTTACAAATGAGATACAAATAATATTTACAAATAATATAATATAAATAATAGAAAACATACAAGATAAAATGTATGAAATATAATTCGGAATAATATTTTGTATTATTAATTAGAACTAGCATTCAATAACTTATATATTAAAAATCTATCCGAAAAGGTATACCTACTTTTGAAATGTTCTTTTGTAAAAGCTGCAAGATTTATGTTTCAAAATTGTCATCTCACTATAGATCTAATATTCATAAATCAAATCGCTTGTCGAATTCTGAAATTGATAATGTTCAAGTTATTGCTTCTGCATTTAAAAAAAGGATTATAAGTTATAAAATAAATCCGATTGTTTTCACTATAACTCCCGAAACATTTTTAAGCCAAATTTCAAACACTGTGTATAATACCATTAAAAAATCCCTTAAAGAACATAAAGCGATAAAAGTAAATTTTGAAC